TAGGATAGCTCCAAACCGCCGACGAAGCGTGGACCGAGAACGGAGAAGCCCATGTCAGTATGGAGCTCTTTTTTCTGTTTAGATCTCGCTTTGAATTTCATGTGGACCTTTTCAGGACCGGTCGCATGAACAAATGCTTGAACAGCTGATGATGATTGATATATCAGATTTCGAGGTAATGATCATTACTACTACGTATAGTATCATCACTATACTCGGCTCGAGTACTCAAATGGACCCAATGTCTCATCTCAACCCAAATACCCAACTCCAACTTACCAGGATGTCAATTGAAAACTCGCTCGACAGGCCCCAGCCCGCAGCAATAGTCCACCTCCGGATCTGGGCCTGCATGTTCCAGGCCCGTGGACAGAGACGCGCCTCGTTCGTCATGCGCCTCTGTGCTCGCATCGTCGGTAGCCGCATGAGACAAAGGACGGGACAACAAGAAGAAACCACAGACATGCAACCAAGATGTCGTCGATCGTGACGAGTCGGATTTTTTGCGGGGAAACACACATTCCTCGATGCCTCGACAGAATGCCATGAGCCTCGAAATAGGACCCTAGCCAGCCACCGCGGAGAGGGATTTGTTTGCCGATCGGCCTGGCCTGGTGGTCAAACCCAGCCGTGTGGAATCGACAAGCATCCCATGGCACTTGGGTTTAGGCCCATCATAAGACAAGCGGTTCAGGCATTGCGTCAGCCTGGATCGTGAGCACTAGATGAGCACTTGGCACGTCTATCGGTTCTCCTAGCCGCCGTTGAGGAGGCCTTGTGGAAATTGGACTGGTCGGCGTCAACAATATTCAGTAAAAGCCGAGCTTACGATAGAGTCCTCGGTGCATGGCCAGATCAAGACATGATCGGTGGGTTTCGGATGACTCCAGTGGCAAGATGACTGGTTCGCATGCTGATGCTGGGGCTGAATTGTTTTTTCGTCTCCTCTCCTCCCTGGGATATATTCATATGCGTCTACGATGCATCAGACTCTGCATGGACCAAGGGATGACCCAGCACAGACGTCCCATGGATGGAGAAGAAGGATTTCTCATGGCTGCCTTGTTTCAGGTACGAGTGGTGTTTTCGACGACATGTTTCCATGGCTTCCGCAGGTACACACATGTACTGTACCGTTGGACACCAGTTCGTGAGCACTAGGCTTCGAACATGGACAGAGTTTGTGAGCCAGCCTTATCTTGGCCTCGACCTGACTCTACTGCAACCGGGATGTGGGTTCCCTGCTCCCGTCCTTGGTCTTCGGCGGGCCTCTGCCTCAACACGAGGAGGATCGCCTGTGGCTTATGGACTTGGTGCGCGCTGCAAATTTCCATCTGGAACATCTGAATGGTGCCCGCCTTGAAAGGGCAGATGCTCGAGATGCCTCGCCCCACTGGGATGCGCAAGCGCCTCGTCGGATCTTGATCGAAAGCTCGTCGAAAACATTCCGATACCCATGACTCTCGGGGAGGGGTTGCCAATGGACGTTTCATGGAACCCCTCAGTAATGCGAGCAGGGGCGGGAGACTGCTTTACCTTGCTTTGCCTTGCCTTGCGTTGCTTCGCCTCGACTAGGGCATCTCGTGTTGATGATGTTGTTGTTATTGTTTACTGGACGATAATGAAACAGGCAGATGGGGGGCCTCAACAACTGACAGCGTCCAATGCCATTGTCTGCGAGACGAGCCAGCACTGAGCATCTGCAAGGGCGCTGCGACACGTGCGCCCCGTTCTGGAAATGAAAGAGACGTCTCGTCTCACTCAAGGCAAGGCAATAAACTCTACTGCATCAATATGTGGTGGTGGTATAGGTCGGGGTGGACCAAGCACCAGGAGAAAATATCGAGCCAAGCCGATTGTCTCTCAAAGGGGACATAGTACGGACCCAGAGCCTGGCAGAGCCTACCACAAACTTGACTACGTCGTAAAACACGAACCTGTTCGGGACGTGGCAGGTTCGTCAACATACAACCTCTTGGGTCGGGCCGTGACCCCCGAAGCAGCTACCAAAGATTATTCAGAGACATGACGGCCGCATCTCTGGGCTCTGCTGATGTCTCTAGACTCTGATGATGGCACATGATGCAATCATGAAGCTTTTCAAAACAATACAACACTCTCTCTCGGACCCTGCCCTGCGCCACTCGCTTGAGCTGGGTCCCTGAGGTTGCCATTGGAACTCTCAGCGTCGTGGCCGGTAGCACATGATATCTGCATCTGCTCTCCAGGCTGACAGTTGAGGAGGACAAGCAGGATATGGAGGACAGAGAGGCGACTTGCTCATGCTCGCGTCGGAATTCCAGTCTCGTCGTTGTTGTTGGCCGGTTCCCCGGCGGCCATTTTCCTGAGCGGGGCGCGCCATGGGACCGTCATGCATGAAGAACCAAGGAGGAAGTGTGGAGTAGGACCAAGCAAGCTGAAGCACGGGTATCCAAAGGTACTGTATCTTGTTGGTGTGTTGACGTTTGCTCGTGAGGGAGTCGGACGGATGGCCGAGTGCAGAAGCGGGATGGTACTGTAGACGAACTGCTTGGAAACAGGAACGCGAACCCTCCATCCCGGCGTACATGTACAGTTCAGGCTGGCCCATCGAGATGATGTTGGACAGACAGATCTCAGGCTGTGCAGTGCAATTCAGATGCAAGATGTAAAGTCAATGGGAGCACAACCCCTTTTTTAGCAGCCGTATAAAAGCCCTGCTTACTCTGCAGCTCGCGAATTGATACCTGATGGAGGTAGGATTATTCTGACTTGTAGATTCACAACCATCAAGTCTTGTTGATAAACAGGTCACTTCTTGGCCTCCGGAACGGGCCCGTTGTGCGACCGCGGCGTGCATGTACACGTTGTATGATGCAGATGGAGATTTGACCATGATTGCATCTTATGACACCCAACAAGTTCTAATGGCGAGATCACCCAGGCGGCATACCTGTGACAACATGTTGGTGATGCAGACGGCACGGGGGCAGTTCGAGGCAAACTCGCCCCGTTGGGCAAGCAACCGACAGGGTCTCCGTTATTATGTTTCTCAGTCTCTGAGTCTACGGTAGGGATCTCTCGTGCTTGCCTCTGGCATCCCGTCCCCGGAGGGACTCCATCCCGTTGTGACCCCCGTCGTCGTCACCTCCGGGGGCCGGGGGAACAGGACGAAATGGGAGAGAGGGCAAGGAGCCTGCCCTGGCATGATCTCCTCTGATCTCGGTCGTCGAATGAGCATGCCAGGCTCTGCTCACCTCAAACAGACAGGCAAGAGGGCACCATGCCACTCTTCTGCAGCAGAAATGCCGCTGTAAGAGATGGTGACCCCCGGAGAGCCAAGGGCGGACCAACAACGCAACCAACCCGCCCGGAGGTTCCATGACCAGGGACGACAAGGGTACTTCCGCTGCAGACTGGAGCTTTACTCTTGCTCGAGAGAGGGACGGACCAGAATAGCAGTCTTCCTTGGAACGGCAAATGATGGTGGTCAACCCGCGCGCGCGCTAACATGCGTATGTAATGACCTGAGACGAAGAGTTTGATGGCCTCCATCCGTCGAATGGATCAAATGGAACCCCTAATAGCAGAGACTGGAGAGTAATAAACTGCACAATTTTGAATTCACAGCCTATCGACATTGTAATTCACCCGCTGTGCGCAATTCACTACTGCAAGTAATGCTCATCCATGGGTGCCATGGACGTCTCCTCTCCACTCAATTCAGCTCCCCCAATCTCTCCTGCTGCTCAGCGCCTGAGACGCCCCCCCAGCTCATCCGACGCCAATCACCCCCGGGCAGTGTCTGTACCTGCCCGATGTGCTCACCATGTTAGTGGACGTCTCGGTCTCTGGCGCCGCGCCGCAGCCCGCCGGCAGCCCACAGGTACTGCAAGTCGCCAGGTACTGCAGAGTAGAGTGCCTGGGCGCCCAGTGAGGTGGGCTCTATAGGGGCCCTGAGGCCCGCAGCGGCGCTAGACGTTCAGTGGCTCCGCCCGCTAATAAGGGACACACTCTGGGCGCGGGTGGGCAGGCAGGTCCTGGCCTGGGTGCCCTGGCCGGTGCTCATCCATCCCTGCAGAGGCGATCCGTCCTCGCCCAAATCTCACTTGCAATCTCCAGCTTGCAGGGCTCGCCAGAGAAGCAGGTTCCTGTTTGGTTCCAGCGGCTGGACTTTTCTCTCTACTGGCTGCTGGGTCTCCTGCAGTTTCTCCTGCTTCTGCTTTATTTTCTTTTCTCTGCCGTGCTGTGCTGATTGATGAGCTGGTAGGCAACTGGGATTCTGCCACTGTCCCAGGGGAAAAAAAGCCAGGGCAAACCCGAGGAGCTGAGAAAAGGGACCAGAAAAAAAAAACCTCCAAGAAGGAAAACAACGTCTTTCCCATCCTCACCCTTCACCCCCTCCCCTTCCTCTCTCTCTTCCAACGGCGTTCCCGTAGTGGCGGCTTCAGATCTCCAGCTCCATCGCGCGGCTGCTTCACCACAAGCCGGCGCGTCCTCCAGTCTCCCCACCGCGGCCGCAGCTTCCAGCTCTCTCTAGCCCGCTCGCTCCATCCCGAACCTTGGAAGCGTATCCTCAGCTCATCCAGAAGAGTTTCACTCGCTCACTCATCTCCGTTATCCTTTCCCACCGACATAGCGACCGACGCTCACCGGGGAACTGACGATTGTTTGCTGTTTGTCCCGGTCTAGTCCCGTACTCTCACTCGGACGTCCGTCGAGCGCTGGTGGGTTGCATTGTTACAACGGCACCTCAGATTCTCCCCGAGAGAAGGAAGCTTTGGACGACTCTCGATTCTTCAGGTCCATGGCTTGAGACGATGCGCATCCCGTCCGTATTCAGCATCGCCATCCTCCTCTAGAATGCTAGCCGCTGCATTCTCTCTCTCGCTTGAGTAGGGCTTCCGCTTCCTCGTCCGTCCTCGAGCAACCATGCAGGCCGTTCCAAGTGTAAGTTTGCTGCTAACCTTGTCCCCCGCAAATCCAACCCACTGCGCCGACTTCATCATCACAGTCATCACATGGCTAATAGACTTTGGCCTATCCCACCCACATCCTACACTGCCTCTGATCACCCACAAACCCTCTTCGCCGTGGCTTGCCCACCTTATTTCCTGTTGCAGCAGTCATTGACCGTCTTTGTATTCAGCTTGTTGGAACGGGCACTGCCATCGCTGCAGCGGCCAGTGGTTTGGTGTTCGGCCAGCCCACCATTGAACCCAACTCCTCGACTCGACCTGCCTCCCATTCCAGACGAGTGTCTACAGACCGCGGCTCTCACTCTCGGCCTCCAGCTGCCAACTTTGCTTCGTCACGGCCCGCAACGAGCTCCGTCGCGACGTCTGCACACGGCTCGCACTATCACACCCTCCCACGCCCGTCCACCGCCTCGAGACCTCCCCTTTCCCGTTACCAGCGACCTCCCATGCCCCAGACCCAGTCGACTCCTCCCAAGGTCAGCAGCAGGAAGTCGTCGTTTGTGAGGGCGCCCGACTCGCCTGCCATCATCCCCGAGTCTCGAGACTCAATCTCGTCCAATGGATCTTGGATAAGGCGCCTCTCCATCCGACCACTGTCTCGTAACGAGAGCTCGAGATCCAGCGCTGGCCAGGACACTCCCTCCATCTTCTCACACGGCTCAGCAGCTCCGATCCTCAGAGGGCCAACAACACCAACTCTCCCCCCGAACAAACTCGTCAAGCGATCCAGGTCGAGCCGCAACGACCCGGACCCACCGCGACGACGTTCGAAATCCCACCTGCCAACTCTCCCAGTTCTTCGACGACCTGCAACGAGCCACCAGCGGTCAGCGACTCTACAGCAGTTCCGTCCCGATTCCCCAGTTATTAATACCCCGACATCTAACAATTTCTCATTCGACGATCATCGGCCCCACGAGTTCCTCACTCCGCCGGCGATTGACCCCCCTTCAAGATCAGCATCTGCAAGACGTAGATGGGCATCATTTTTTCATTCTAGGACATCAAGCATCGGCCGCGCAGGCTCGGGCCGGTTCAGTGAACTGAGCCCGCATGCTCGAGCACCTGTTAAGCGCATCTGCATCGACGACGAGCAAAGCAGGGTCCATCTGGTGAAACCGAGAATGGTTTCAGCGACATCAGCCCCGAGAGGACTGCTGCCGGCCGCTCACATTCAGGAAGAAGCCCGCCCGGTTCCGGCGCTGGTGGAATCAACACCTTCCCCCGAAGGCACGCCCTCTCGAGTGCCCCGAAAATCCGTCTCGATGCCATTCGCTTCTGCAGGTACGTGGGCGGTAAAGTCAGGGAGTATTCGGCGGCCAAAACGTGGCGCAGAACCCAGGATCGGAAATAAGCGACATGTGTCGGAACCGGTCACTGGCGCGCTGGCTGGCGCCGAGGCTCGAGCCAATCCGCTGCTGGAATTGACCCTCCCCCCATCTTCACCATCGCCGGGCCGGCAGGGGTTGTCCCTTGGTTCAGCTGCTGTTGCGCAGTTGCGAACGCGTAAAAGGAACTCGTCGTCGCCCGTCCCCCCGCTTTCAAGGCTTTCAAGTTTCCATGTGGATGCGTCGCGGTTAGGGTCTTCTGGCGGGGTCTCCAACCACACCCGGCCTAACCAGCCCTCTGGAAGTTCTGCCAGCTCCACTGCGATGTCACAACTTAGGGCACCGCAGCACGACAGGACCTCTACCATGGAGAGTTCTGAGGACACCAGGGACTGTACTTCAGGCGACGACGATGACACTGACTTCAAGAGTGACACCATGTTTGACTCGCTGCGCACCGTCGGATCTGGTCGCGCCCGAGCCGTCGAGACTCCGCTGGAGTCCATGTACGACGAATCACCACCGAGCACAGCCAACGGCAATGGAAAGACCAAGCGCCTGTCCATCCATGAAATGCTCGGCCGGACCTGGGATGAGGATGACAAGATCATGGAGGAAGACGAGAACGTCACGCCTGTCCGCACCGTCAACCGTGACGCTAACCGCCGGGAGTCACCGCGCTTCAGGATCGACTCGTCCCCCCGCAACGTATCAATCTCTGCAACCAAGGAGTTCAGCAGGCTGTCCTTGGACGACGACTTTGACGACGATTGGGCGAGGGATGACGAACTTCCATGCAACCCCCTGTCGCCTCCCTCCAAAGGGAGCTCGTTGAATTCCAGGGGCATCAACCCCAACGTGCGTCTCGCCCTCGCCAACATTAGTGGTAATGGACTGCCCGACCACGATCACAATGAACGTCCTCTTAGCACCCTCTTTGACTGGAGCGAACCCCCGACTCACGACAAGTTTGAATCTGGACGGTCACCACGGCCCAAGACGGCCTATGCAAAGCAAGAGATGGACTCTAGAGGTGGACGGTCAGCCATCCGCAAAGGTCCCACGCCGACACATGTGCGAAGCCAGAGTGTCCCCGTGGTGCACGACTCCCCTGATGACTCCAAGTCGGCTTCAAAATACGGCACATGGGGCTTGGGGACAAAGACTGCCAGCGAGGATTGGGACGACGACTTTGAGTTTGGCGGCAGCAGTCTGGGTAGCAACGACAAAGATGACAAGGTATTTGCAGTTCCAGAGTCGATCCGCGCGACGCAACCGAGTGTCAAAGCCCACTCGGGACACATTCGCGAGTTTTCCCTTCTCGTCAACGACCTGAAGCGTCTCTGCCGGCACGGGCGAGACATGGATATTCTCGATGGACCACAGAGCCACCTGTGGGAGGAGGCTGATGGTATCATTGCCCTGGCATCCCCCGATGAAGAGTCGCTGGATGAGGATGATGACCAAAAGTCGACGTCGTCGATCAACTTTGACGCATTCGATATCGATGAACGCTTTGGTGATGAAGGATTCGACGCACACTCGATGAACCGGCTTGACGCTGCGTTTGACGGCCACGAGCCCGCAATGTCAAAAACTGCTGTTGTACGAGAACGCCATTCTCCCCGCCGCCGATCCGTCTTTTCCCCCGAGGACGACATCTTTGGCAACTGGCCACTGACAGACAACCATCAGCCGAGTCGACCGAGCCGTCCCCGGACACCCGAGAACCGGCACAGCAAAGCCCACGACGTATCCGGAGTGGTCCGCTCAGTCATTGGGGCTATGCAGCATCGCGTAACCGACCAAGCACCCAACGATGGCAAGGTGCACTTTGACACAAATAGCCTCAAGGCTCTGGTCAAGAGGGCTGGTGATTTGCGAGACTCCCTGTCCGATATTATTCGACGAGCCGATCAGATCACGCAGAGTCCAGTGAAAACGCCTCGACACGAGCGTCACGACTCTAGCCCAGCCTTTACTCGAGTATTCGACGACCCCAACTCAAGCCCGCAACGAAGAGGCATCCGAAGCCGCGGCAACAACTCACTGATGGAGGCGTCACCGGAAAACTCGCCCTCATCCGGGCTGCCACAGCGGATGCAAATGATGACTGTCAACTAGTCATCTCCTGCTCACTAGAGCGTGTACAAAATAATTATGGAATTCTTTGCATAGCAACGGCTTCGGATCAGGGTACGATGCGTCAGGACAGCCAACCCGACATAGCACGACTCGATCCTCTGGATACTCGCCATGATGCCCCCTGGCAGCCACTGGTCACGATCCATGAACTCCCCGATGGACTCACCTCCGGCATGAGCAATGACGCTCTTAATGACTTTCACAAGTAATAAGGTAGACGGAACAAGAAGGCTGCGGCGGTGATGCCGTACTCGTTCGCGCGAGCATGACTTGACTTGTGAGGGGTTGTCAGTTTATTTACGAATTTTCTTGCGTTGTCCCTTTGTGTTTATGAGGAAACGTAACGTTTTCTTTTGTTTTCTTTTTCACTTCGTGGCCTCAGGGCCCTTAATGTTTTGACGATTACTCTGGAGGGAAAAAAGAGGAAATTTGGCGGGCGTCTCGATCGAGAGGATCACGTCTCTCCCTCGACAAGCAAGACGCGCGCCGTTGGGTGCTCAGCAAGGGAAGGGAAGGCAAGGGAAATACCAGGCTGAACATACATGGACGAACAGCAACAAAGAAGAACAAAAAGAAAGGGGATTGGTCCTTTGGGATACATACAGGTTCGGACGGAAAAGGGCGCGGGAGAAAGGAAGAGGGCGGTTTTGTTTTGACGTCGCATCAGGGCTATCCCATCTGATAGCCTATACTGCCCTGTTCTGTCATGATTGCATGGATAGAGGTTTATAACGGCCATGACGATTTATTCGAGTTCCTGATGTCCTCTTGGGCTTTGCGTGTACGGTAACTGTATAATACTGCTCAAGTCTAGTCGCATGATGGCCGTCCTTGACTGATGCACAACTCGACAATCCGGCACATCCATAACCCCATGAGCTATGCTGTAGTTGGGAATGAGGGACGTCGTAATTTTGTTCCTTGTTCAGTCTGACGTATCGAAAGGGCGGAGCTCGACGGTGTCGCATTGAGATCCTTGACGCTTTTCCGCCTGTACTCTCTGGGAAACATCCACCACATGCTTTATAATTCGAGCAGCCGTTCTTGTATCCTCGTGTTTTAGTTCCCTGGCTCGTATGTGCCGCTGATAAGTTTTAGTTGTGTTACTGCTGTGCTATTTCTGTTGGGTTGTTCAGCCTCTCAGGCCCTCATCGAGCCTCATTGACGTAGGTACATCTAGGGCCTCCACCAACAGTACGCCACATCATACATGCCTCTTTTGTCGTATAGTTGTCAGTCGGTGGAAACCTTGGAATGGCTAGGGAATTATTGCGGTTAAACGCAGTCTGTCAAGACATTCTGGTGTTTCCAACGCCGCCTAGCTTCAAAGCTCCCTGAAGGGCAATTGGTGATGACTGTTGCTGGTTTGTGGATATGGCTGAGGGCTTGAGCCTCGCCGATGTCGGATGGGGATGCCACGAGGTCGTTCTTGGCACGTTGGCTAACAAGCCAGGGCAAATTATTGACGCAGACAGTGGTGAAGCCATTGCTGGCATCGTATCAACAACTTGTTGTCGAGTTCATAGAAGTCGTCGAGGAAGGATTGAAACGACGATCGGAGGAAAGGCCTGATGGAAGCCTGAGGAGAAGATCCTTGCTAGGACGTTAAAGTCTTGGGTAGTTTCTATGTTTGTTCAGTGGACACCTTAGCCGGGGCTCTTGGGCATGACACTCAGCTGTCTCCCTCCAGCTTCCTTCTTCGGTAAGTTGTCAGTCAATTGCTATTAGTAAAACCCATTGATAACAGAGACTTGCGGTATAAACTTTAACCACATCTCAGGGAAAAGTGTATTCGGCGTCATAACTAGTCGCCGGGGCATGCGTTTTCGCCACGATAGTGACGATATTGTCCCTGTCACTGGATAAAGTCAGGCCAGAGATAGGTCGATCAGCATGTTTCGAGTAGGCGAGATGAGACTTGCCCTTTGACAACAAGTCGCGGGCACGCCGGGAACAGTCTCCGCAGCGATAGCAGGGCAATGTATGGGGAAGGCTTTCCCTGAGCACAGGCCTATTTATGAGGGTGCACGGGCGAGATAGCCCGGAATGGTGACCCCTCAGGGGAATACTTGTGGAGATGATGACGCTGGGCCGCTGTGGACTTCCTTTGGAGAAGGGTCACTATCAGGAACATGTCGTGACCTGAGCCTCACCGAATGAGACTTGAATTCCGGGGAACCCTGTAAAAGGGGCGTTCTTGTTGGAGTCATTGGAGAAGGGCGCACACTAGGACATGGTTGGAGACTGTCGAACCAGCGGAGGCCGTTACGCACCGGAATTCAGTCCTGTTTTCCAAAAAGAGGTTGCTGATGTTGCATTGACTCAAGCTGATTGGATCGGACGACCCGGCATGACTAGAGAGCCTCGACCTTGTCTCTTCTTCAAGAATGGAAGTTATCCGCGGACGACAACGACCCCGGATTCTCCATTTTCCCCAGAGGCTCCTCCCCCGCGTCTCCAACTGCAGCGTTTTGACTGGCACCTTGATGATGGTCCCATCGACGGGACCAGCAGGGCTCCTTCCCCGTTGGCCGAGGATCCTAGCAGTGTCTTGATAAGCTCCCTAGCCTTAGACGAGTATTTAAGTAGTTTGGCATCCTGCCAAGTTTTTGAAAAATCAAACACTCACTCCTCCCCATCCTCTCTCCATCTGCATCTTTTACTTCTTGCATCGTTATTCCTCCCATCATGTCAAAGGATTTCAAGTCCGAGTATGACACCGAGGGTGGTGCTCCTCGAACTCCATCTCGAGCCGGAGAGGTCCTCGAGGACAACGTGGTCGAGCACGATGCCGTCTTTGGTGCCATCACTGAAGACGGACCAAACTATCGAAATGTTGGATGGATTGGTACAACTGCCCTCATGATGAAGACCCAGATAGGTCTTGGAGTCTTGTCTATGCCGGTTGTCTTTGATACTCTTGGCATGATCCCGGGCATTATCCTCCTCATCACTATTGCTGGCATCACCACCTGGTCAGATTACATTGTTGGTGTCTTCAAGATGCGCCATCGGCACGTCTACGGTATCGACGATGTTGGAAGGATGCTCTTTGGACGTATTGGTTATGAAGTGTTTGGAGCCATGTACGCTCTCTGTATGTTGTCACCACCTCCTAGGCTGCTCCAGTCTAACATGTTAGATTTTACTTTCGTCTCCGGCTCCGCTATGTTGAGTATCTCGGTTGCCCTCAACGCTCTGTCGACCCACGGCGCCTGCACGGCCGTTTTCGTGGCCGTTGCTGCCATTGTCACCTTTATGGTATCCAGCATTCAGACTCTCGGCCGAATCAGTTGGGTGGCGTGGGTTGGTGCAGCTTGCATCATCGTCTCTGGTTAGTCTCTCTCCCTGCAGTGTAGGTCCAATCTAACGGAAGCAGTCTTTGTCGTCACGATTGCCGTCGCCCTTCAAGATCAACCCTCGGCCGCTCCGAAAGTCACTGGCGAATGGAAGTCTGACTACAAGCTTTTCAACAACCCTAGCTTCACCGATGCCATCTCGGCCGTTTCCACCCTCGTCTTTACCTACGCCGGAACTCCTGCATTTTTCAACATCGTCTCGGAGATGCGCGACCCTACTCAGTACACTCGTGCCCTGACAGTCTGCCAAGTTACGGTTACTGTTGTATATATCATTGTTGGCACCATTGTCTACTATTATTGCGGATCATATGTTGCGTCGCCTGCTCTTGGCTCAGCCGGTCCCCTCATCAAGAAAGTTGGCTATGGCATTGCTCTGCCTGGCCTGCTTGGTTCTGCCATTCTACTCTCACACGTAAGACGCCTATATACATACCTCCAACTAAACTAACTGTTATAGTTGCCTGCCAAGCACATCTTTATCCGCATCCTGCGAGGATCCAAGCACCTCACGGCCAACACTACTATCCACTGGATCACGTGGCTGGGCTCTACCCTCTCCGTGTCCGTCGTAGCATACATCGTTGCTAGTGGTATTCCCGTGTTCGGCGGCCTCGTCTCTCTGATTGGTGCTCTTTTTGGTTCCTTCCTATCGCTCCAGCCCATGGGCTGCATGTGGCTGTACGATCACTGGAAGGAGGAGCGTACGGTGCGATGGCACCTGATGGTTGGGTGGAGCGTCTTCATCATTGTCGCGGGTACCTTTTTGATGGTTGCCGGAACCTACGGCTCGGTCGTTGGAATTATCGACTCATACAAGGCCACGGGAGGGTCAGCTGCATGGTCTTGCGCTGACAATTCCAACTCTACCTAGGAGGGGATGGTTTAGAATCGATGTCGAAGCACCACGACACGTTTGACTCAATACACGCATTTATCCGCTGCATGACACGCTCCACTCACGACGAACCTGGTTCGGATAACAGCGGCAATTACTGGCTGGCAATCGCGCCATTCAAAGTCGAAAAGTCTTGTTTCACAGTGAATCAATCAACCAAGGAACCATTCATTGGACAGATTATGGCGACAAATCAAAAATGCTTTTTTTTACGCTTGCTAATTTTCAAAGTGGTATACACCAACCAACGCCCGAGATAAGAAACCAAACCACGAGATTTCTGGTCCAACTTGTGACCCATCGCTAATCAATGTCCGTAACCATTGTCCAACCTTGCCATGCCATGCCCAAATTAATGTCCGAATCGTTATCATCACGTCACAATTTGACTTGACTACCACAGCTGTACAAACGACAAGCTCTTTCTAAGAGACTTGTCCAGCCAGGATCCATCCTCACGCGATCCAGCCGGGGATTGACCGCGAGCCCAGAGTCCCTGCGACGCAAAGTCGCGGGGCGTGTCGCTGGCGGCAGGGAGAAAGGCCGAGGTAGATGAACCGGGGTAGATTGGGGGCGGCGGGCGCGACTTTGCCAGTGTGCGACCACGGTGCGACGTGCCCGACTCGGCGTGCTTCTTATCGTAGTCTCGAAGAGAAGGGGTCAACTCGAGGAAACGAGGGGTTGGGATGGAAGTCGGCTTCCACAGCTCATCGGAATCCGACGCCATGATGAGCGGCTCTTCATCCGACTTGGACCAGAGCTGGTAGTTGGTCTCGCTGGGGTCCAGGTCCATGGCACCCTTGTCCGAGGGTCCACTGGCACGGATGGCATCGTCCAGGGCAGCGAGCCATTCGGCGGGAGTTGCGTCGATGCGACGGACGCTCTTGTCCGACTTGATAGAGGAAGCTCTGGTGAGAGGAGGCATCGAGATGAGCGAATCCTCTGAAGCGACAGACGTGGTTCTCGGGCGGACTGTCGATAGAGCCATCCAGTCGAGCTCGACCGATGTCTCGGCCGGTGCGCGCACAGACCAGAGGCTATCTGAGCTGAGCGTCGGCAGAGGCTCCTGCGAGATGCGCATCTTGGGTCTGGTCTCCAGAGCAGCGGGGGGTTCGGAAGTAGTACGGAAATTGTTCCGGCGGTGCTTCAGGCTGAATAGCCCCTCCAGAACGAGGCCGTCCAATTCGCGCTGGAGCTCAACAGCCGAGGCATTGGCCTTGGCATCCCAGAGAGGGGCCATGTTCCAGAGATGAGTAAATCCAAAGTCGGGGTACGCCTCCAGAGGTCGTCGGGGAGGGCGCATTTCGAGAGCCGCCGGAGCCTTGTCGGTGGTGCGGTATTCGGTGCGACGGTGGCTGAGGCTAAAGAGGCCGGTCGGCTCTTCGTCCGCAATGATAGCGGGAGTGGGCTCCCACAATCCAAAATTGACCGCCTCGCTCGGCGTACCGGTAGATGACTCGGAGCCGCTCACTGAGCTTGCAGAAGATGCGGAGCTAGATCCGGACCACAAACCATCCTCGGATGGCACCTCGGGGATAACGGGCTTGCTGGACCAGAGGCTGCTGCTCTCAACAGAGGCAGGCTCGGCCTCTCTGGTCTTGACTCGGGGGACATCATCCATCACCACGAGGTAGGTGGCCCAAGTCTCAGGGTCAGGCTGGGGGAGGCCATAGGAGACCTTGGGGAGGACTGGGGGTTGAGACCACATGCCGGGCAGGGGTGTCTTTGTTCCCCAAAGTCCGTGGTTGGGAATGTCGACCTTCTTTGCTGGGGGAGTCCAGAGGGTGTTGCTCTCAATGATAGGAAGGTCGGCCTTTGCAGGGAGAACGCGAGCAGTGTCGTCGGTAGGTAGATATTTCTTCCAGGTAGCTTCGTCTGGCTGGGCGAGTCCCTTGGTGGGGCTGTGAACGATAGGGCTAGGAGACCACAAAGCCATGCCAAAAATGCTAGTAGATTGCTGATGCTGATGTTGATATTGTAGCTTGGGATGTTCAGACTTGAGTGGTGAAGACTGAGGAGGCAATGGGAAGAAAGATAACAAACGACTGTTGAGATTTGCGTCGGCGCGTCGGCTTTGTATATGGAGGGCGGCGGACTTAGCGGACTCGGCGGGCAGTTCGGCGGGCTTGGAGATAGAGGACGCCTCGTGCTGGATGCAGGCGGGTGTCGCCTCTGCGGGAGTGAAAGTCCACGTCAAGGGACTACGCCTGGGACTACCACTGGCTGCAGGGGTGTGATTTGCAAGCAACTGGGGAAACTGTGTCTCATGAGTGGTGCTGTCGTCATTGATTGGAGCGCCAGACAAGGGTCGAGGCACGGGCGCGCTGCTTATTGATCGCTCAGGCGGGTTTTTGCTTATTGAAGCAACTGGAGGCTCGGGCTTCGGAGGGGTCCCCATGGCGGCATCGGGTGCCGAGCTCGCACCAAACGCAATCAGATGCGCATCAATTTTTGCCGGACCCTGGTTTTGGACCTTGTTGTGGTCCCTGCCCTGGCTCTGCCCCTCGTCCTCTCGCTCTTTTCCGTTGACTCGCTCCCGGAGATCCATGTCCGCCAGCGTCATTGGTGGGTGGGGGCTTTTCCGCTGGCTAATCTGGTCCTGGTCGGGCCCTGCAGGTGTCTTTGGGGGTGAGTCTGCGTGTGACGAAGAGATATTAGTTGGGGCTTGCCCTTTGTTGTTGCCGTTGTCTGAAAATTTGGCCGAGTTTGCGTCTTCATCTGCAACCTGTTCTGCACGCCCATGTGCCGCTTCTTGCTTTTGCTCGGAGTGAAGCCCGGATTTACCATAGTGGGGCCCGGTCGTGGATTCACTTGTCCGCTCCGCAGGTTCCAGAAGGCTGACAATTTCCCAAAGAGTTGTTTCGTCAAACCCTTCTTCGTCGCTGTCGTAGTACGAGGACGAGTCGTCGTACGTTTCGCTGTCAGAGAACTCCTCCCGTTCGTAGTCGTCCATAGACTCCATCACCTCCGTGGTGGTGTCCACCTCCACTTCCACGCTCCTCTGCATGTGTGACTGTGACTGTGACCCTCTGCTGGCCATTGTCCCAGGCATGGCGCCGATTGTCAACCCAGACATCCCTCGAGTTGGCATCGCTGGCATCGTTGCCCTGTCAGACCTCTCACCCCATGGGAATTGGAATATCCCAAGTGTCCCGCGCCTATCAGGGAGTGGCTCCGGATTCTCCAGTATGTCTGGGAGGAGTGTGACACGTTTGATCCGCCGTGGGGGCTGCCGGGGAGGAGCTGAGTGCTGGACTTTGACTTCCACCACTTGGGTCTTGTCTGCTCGCCAGAGCCCTTGACTCGCAACCTGGCGCTCTGGTGATCGTGATGCCTCCCACAGCCTGTTGCTCTCAATCGTCAGAGGTTCCAGATACCTCTTCTCTCGTCTGATAGTGTCTGGAATTTCCTCTGGCGCCATGTCTGCTGCCTTGGAGGCAGGGGTCCAGAGGGATGGTGCACTAGGCGCAGAAGCTACAGGAGTGATGGGGCGCCACAGCGCCTTCGCCGCCTTGGCATCATTCTCCATCTGACCAACCAGGACCTCAGATTCCTCGTCGTATTCGTGCTCAGATTCTGTGTCTGGAGGAGTAGGACTAGACAATCCGGGGAAGGATGAGCTTGCCAACTTTGATCTGAAGCCAGTCTGTGATAGCAGCGACTGCAGATCGTTTTCTGCTTCCAATTGCGTTCGTCGAAACGGCTGCCCGTGTCGCGAGTCGCGCCTGGGTGATCCCATAGACACAGTCGACAGGGAATCTCGGAGCATTGTGTGCCGAATTGCTTGCCATTGGTTCTCCTGCTCGTTCAATTCCAGCTCCAGATTGGCCAGCAAAGTCGCCCTCTCGTCACCTGAAAAAGCCCCTGCCAGCTCCGCGGGGTTGACATTGCTGCCAGACCTGGCTAAAGCCATTTCCAGCTCATCCTCAGAATCTGGCGATGGTTCAGCCTGCACCCTGCTGTTGCGGAGCAGCAGAGGAGCAGGCGGAGGACTCCGATGCAGCTTGACTGAGCGCCCCCTGTCTGAGAATGTTGGCCGAGCTTCCCCCACTTGACGTGTCCGCTCGGAGTTCAAATCCTCGGCACCTTGCAAGTCCGATGCAAGTCCGGTGCCTTGTTTAGCTGGCTCGTGCAGGGGACCGTGAGCCTCGCTCAACGATGGGGTCCCCGCAACTCCGAGCCCGGCCCGCTGGATTTTAGTCGATTTAACCGCACCTGCCTCTTGCACGTGCGTGGGAGCAATATCCCAGTTGAGAAAAGAGTCATCGTCTGCGATCGTGGACCCAGGAGAGAGCCTGTCAAACCCTTCGGCCGGAAGAACAGGCGAGGACCTTCGCTCGTATCCCCTCTTGCGCAAGGACGATGGCGTTGGGATTGATTCATCCGAAGGCGAGATGGAATGGGTCGACTGGGCAGGGCTTTCAGGACGCGTCACAGGCTGGACCTTTGCCGGGCTTGAAGCCAGACTCAAGATTGGAAGCTCAGGAACAGACATAGACCGCCTTCTCGTACCTGTCGCCTTGGAGTGTCCACTCCCTAGCAAATTAGCAAACTCGCTTAGCCGAGGATCGGTGGGAATTGGTGGCGGTGTCTCGAGCTTGAGGATGGAGCTGCAGGAGAGTGATCGCTTGCGGTGTTGATCTGGGGTCCCTTCTGCTGGAAAGATAGGGCGATCGACATTTGGTTTCCTTGGTATTGGCCTTGGTCGATGAACTACCGAAGTAATCCTTGGCAATTCTCCTATATCTCTATCTTTTGGCTTGATAGGCGGTGCTGATTTCGTTTCGGCTCTTGGCGTGCGTGTGGCTGGCTTCTGTGCATCGACCGGCAGTGAAAAGTTAACCACGGTCTCTCGCGTGGCCCGGGAGGGATACGGCAAATGTCGAGGCGGGGGCTTGAGATTAGACAGATTCGGTGTCGATGGCTGCCTTGGGGATCGTCGTCGAACCTCTTCTACCCCTGGAGATAAAAGCGCCGACGTCGTAGTCGCAATCGATGTGGGTTTCGACGTGGGAGCATAGGAGGATTCGGTATCTGAAACTGCCACCAACAATGCTTCCTGTCTCTTTCTTTCCTTTTGCGCGACCGCCAAGTCCACCGTCGCAATCTTGGAAAGCGGGTTATGGTCTTGTCGCAGAATGGGATTCGATATGACCAGCTTCGTGTCCTGCCGGGGTCTCTTTTCCAAGCTCTTCATTTCGATAGACAACGGTAGCGTCTGGGCTCGAGGCGGTGGGAATAGTTGGCCTTGCACTGGAACTCCGCCCATCCCAAGAGTTGCTTGTCCGGCAGCTGGCATCGAGATTACTGGAAGCTCCTTGTTGAGAGTTGTCATCGCACGCGGGATCCTCTTGGGCTCCTCCCAAACTTCCCTCCTAACCTCTTCATGTTGAGTCGGATGGTATGAGTCGGCGGTCGATATTCCTCGGCTCTGCAAATGTCGGTACGCATCGAAGGCTGGTTCGGTCGGGTGTTCAGATTTCGCAAAACGGCCCTGGAAGTGAGCGATGATGGCTAAAGGGTAAGCATGGTTCGTCAGTAGGAAGAATAACCTACCGATCAGAATCGAGAGGCCAGTTGCTGGGATTACAGTTCGGACAACCACAGGCAATGTCTCGATGCCTAGCATGAGAGGGACACTCGCCTATACTTGGTCAGACAAGAAGACTGATTGTGCTGGGACTACTTACTGCTGTCCAAATACCCAAGCCCACAGTAATGAAAAGAGCAGCTCGGCCACTGACAACTCCCTCCCAAGAGTTGCCATGAGAAATGACTCTTGTCAAAAGAGCAGCCACAAAGACGAGGTCAACAGCGGAAACCACGACGCCAATCGGCAAGACTGATGTACGCGCCAGACAGATGTCGCCAAGTTGTGGTCGCTGAAAGCCGACAAATACACCTCCCAGAATGAGTCGCACCAGGACGAAACCTTGGGAGGCCAATGCATCCACCCCCGACCCCTTTGTAGACTTGTTCAAAGTCCAAATCAGGCTTTGCTGTAGAGATACCCGAGCAAACTGGTCAAAGATGGAAGCAAAGGTGATGGTGACCTGGCAACCCGTCGAGGCGGCATTAATCATAAAAGAAGTAAAGTCAAGTTGAGCCCACAGGGCAGAAGAAATAAGGAACGTAATGAGGGCCAGCCTCGGTCCATCTCGAAGAATATTCGAACAACCTTTGTAAACGATCGGAACGGTTGAAGCCGCAGCGTGGACAACGAGGCCACTACCTGGGTTAGCTTAGACGCACAATAAAGAGAGTTACTTACAATGCAAAGGCCGCAACCAGAGCCTGACTGTTAGTAGAGGTGCTCATAGATACGACATTAGGTTAAAGAAAGTACAAAAGAAAGAAACATTAAAGACTGGATGGAACTTGGATCAACCAAAGTGACCACGAACTTGCGCGGTCTAGAGAATCGAATACAAAAGAAAGGCAAGAAACGAAAGCAACGAAAGCATGAGTCGTTGATGATATGGATCTGCACTTGCAACAAACCATCTCGTCTCAGATAATCGCGTCAAACTGGCCGTGTTCGAGCCGTTCGAGTTCGCTTGAGTAGTCGATTGGATTCCGGCGCGGCGCTGAGCAATGATTGGACGGATGTCGCATCTCATGGGGTCCCATCGAGTGTAGCCGGTAGCATCGTTTCGCGTGAAACCCCAGGCGTCGGAGACGTCTGTTACGGCGAGACCTGAGACGAAGGGGCGGCGCTTGATGGCTGGACGGCCGGGCGATCGATAATACATGACAGTAAAGAAATAACAGCGGGAGAGCGCTTATTTCAGTAATAGAAACCGGGTCGGGAAGTGAATCCGTCTTGGCTGGGGAACAGGGAGAAACCGGAGCCTTGGTGCCCGACATCTGGGGGACGTGCTCGACGACATGGCCCAAAGATCATCACGATCAAGTCAAACCAAGCATCAAGAGATGAAGATTAAAAGAAGAAGAGAATTCATTGTCCTCATCATCGTGAGAAGAGACAAGAGTTGCCGTTCGGACAGTGACCGAGAGCTGGGACTGCGGGGCAATCGAAGGCTTGCCGTTGGTGCGCTCCAGGCAAGTCATGCAACGGCAGGGTGTCAGGGTCCATCACCCGCATTGTGGCACTGGGGTTTCCTGATGCGGCTAATGATGAGGGAGAAGACGTTATTACCGAGGATGTGGTGATGGAGTGTAGATGACAGTAGAGAGTTGAAGCAAGGGAGCAAGAGTCAAGTTGGAGATGCTTCAATCCGAAGGTGCCCGAGCGAACGGGGATCGTTCTTTCCCAACTGGGCAACCGACACGCGACAAGAGAAAACTAATCCATTCCACCCGAAAACTTCCCCAGATTTTGATCAGCGTTAGCATTCGCATTAGCACCAGGGTTACACCTCCACTGCGTTCATGAAGGCGTAGTATTGGGGTAGGTTCATGCCCATTGGATAAGCTTCAACTGCGATGGTGGATGGTGCTTCCTGGCGAATGACCACGACTTGGTCCTACGACATTGGACGTGTTCAACACCAAGGCATCACGTGGATACAGAACAGTAGTCTCTTACTCACCACTCTCTTATACGTCTCCTTCGTCCTTCCGTTCTTGTCTGCCGGTCGTTCCCGGTCACCATCAACTTCACCGACCGGCCCGGTGCTGAACGGAGCCGAGAGAGCACCCCGATCAGCCCTCCGGCGCTCAACCCGCCGCTGGCCGCGTCCGAATCATACTCCAAGTTCATCTTTCTGGAAACTCCGTGGTTTTGACTCTACAATCGACATGAGCAACATGCAAGCTAATGCGTACTACTCCACCGATCTTGTCCAGCTTGGGTTCCCCGCGAAACCAACTCACCAATCGAATCCCGCGGGATGGTCAGATCGAGGGCCAGCCACACCACTTGTTCACCGGGAAAGAATGATTCCAAACGGTACCCTCACCTGCAGATACTTTGTGGGACGTGTAGATGTCGTGTCTAACCAAGTACAGGCAATCAATGGTACTTTGCGAGTTTGACAATCGCGCCCTTGAGCGCCTCAGTTCGGTGCAAACCTCCGAAATGACTACTATCAAAGATTCGACTCCGGAGGTGGTGACTCAATATCAACACCAGGTGAATCATCACAAGTATAAGATACGAGAGCGTAGAACACTTTCATTGTCATTATCATCATCACTCAGCATTCATCCTAAGCCAGTTAAACCAAAGCGTTCACTCAATCGACATGGGTCGCTACGATCTCGAATACCCTAAAGAGGCCATCAACACCATCAAGCGTGAAAACGACCGCGCGGTGTATGCCCTCAAGACAATCCACGAAATTGTCAATTCGTGCCAAATTCTTCATGTCTCATTCAATACCCCTTCTCAACCTTTTCCCGTCATCCTCCCCATGATCGGTCAGATGGGTTCTTTTGAGCGCCCCAGCGCTGATATCGGCGACCCCCTGGATCTATACCTCCACGGCTACGTCTCCAGCCGTATCATGAATCTTGGCCGTGGTGCCGAAGAGGGCATGCCAGTGTGCGTTGCTGCATCTCACGTTGATGGCCTCGTCCTCGCCTTGTCGTCATTCTCGCACAGCTACAACTATCGTTCTACGGTCCTTTTTGGACACGCGTCACTCGTCAATGATGAGGAGGAGAGGATGTATGCCATGGAGCTCATCACCAATAGTGTCGTACCTGATCGCTGGCGACACACTCGTCTGCCACCCACCAAGGCTGAACTTCAGAGTACCGGCATCCTCAAGGTTCGCATCGCCTCTGGCAGTGCCAAGATCCGCACGGGTGGTGCCCACGACGAGAGGCACGATATGGAGAACCAGGATCTTCAAGACAAGGTCTGGACTGGCGTCGTGCCTGTTCAGCAGACTATGGGAGAACCAGTTCCCAGCACATACAACCGGATCGACGTACCGGGCTACATGTCAGAGTTTATCAAGGACTTCAACACCGACAACACACAGTATGCTCTCGATGTGACCAAGGACTAGTCCCCGAATGGTCTATTCAAGATTAGATAGAAAATAGATGCAATTACCACTGCTCCCAGATCTTGCTCGGCAGCACCGACCTCATAATCTTCCAGTGTCCGGCCGCGCTCTTCTGGTGCCACTTGGTAACCTTGCCGGTCCGGTTCTTAGCCAGGACATCCGTATCTTCGCTATCCAGAAACTCCTGCTCCCGGACCTCGTGTTGCGGCGCCAGGAAGGCCTGTCGGGCGCGGCTCCGAAGAAAGTCACTAGGGACCGGGCGGCGGAAAGTAATGTCCCCGGGTGTCTTCCGGCAGAAGATAACCATGTTGGTAAAGTCGCTACCCCACCGCTCAACATTGGCTTCCTCACGTGGGCTCTCACGGAAGATACGGCACGAGGGGAAGATCTGCTTGATAGTGCGGTAGATCAGTTGAGGGGCAGGCAAGCCAAAGTCACCAGCGTAGTTCTAAACAGTTAGCATGAGCAGCTGTGTGGCTGAAGTGACTTACAATAGCAATAACTCCGTCAGGCTTCAAGAGAGCACCAAGTCCTTGTAGGAATTCGAGGGTAAACAGGTCAACTGGCTCAGCGCCGCCTGTGAAGACGTCGTGGACAATGTAGTCGTACGACTTGGACTGATTGACAAGGTTGGCAGTGTAACTGACAGCGTCCGCAATGGCCGGGGGGTTGTTCTGGCGCATGTTGAAATACTTTTGCGCAAACTCATGGACGACTGGGTCAATCTCGACAACCGTAGTGTCAATGCCGTGGGATACAAGAGCAGATGGAGTAGTTCCGATACCAAGACCACTGATACTGTTAGCGAGATACGGCCACAAAGTAGGCGACTTACACAACAAGGGCTTTGGCTTCAGCATCAGGAAGAGGAGTCTCCCTCTGGATCAGCCGAACCGCCTCGAGCATGACGAAAACACCATAAATAGGCTCAGACACCTTCTGTCCCTGGATTCGCACCCATTCTCCTCCAAGAAGACTATGGTCGCATCGCATAACACGGAATCCCTGTCCCAAGTTCTCCAAGATCGAAATGTATCCAGTCAGTGATTCCTTACGCTCCAGGAGTGTCCAATTCTGCGCAGCCAGGGTGCTGTTGAGCGAAGCCGTAGCCATGGGTGTCATGACATGTGTGTTCAGAACAGCCGTGTGCAGCAGCGCAGGAATAGCCAAGACGAGGTACTTTGACGGAGAAAAGACGGCGTAGATACCGGCCAGAACCAGTTCCAACCCAACACGAGTAAACCAAAACGCACTGCCGATCAGACCCTGAAGTTTTTCGTTGGCGATTCTCTCAGCCAGCCTGAACAAACCCCAGGAACCAATGCCAGGCGCCGCATCTGCAACAAACTTGGGGAGTATGCTCAGATCAGCATCTTCGAGTTGATCAGCCACACAAGCAGCCGAGAAGACTGCCAAGGGGAACAGCGTCAAAGCCTCGGTGACAAGAGGCCCCCACCAGCAACCTAGACGATCACTGAAGCCGCCGGCGAGGTACTGGATGGCAGGGACGTTTAATGCGACGATAGGGAGGAGCTGAGCTGTAGGTAGAGGCAACACGTTGCGGAGAAACAAGTTTCCAGCCCATCCGACGAAGCAGCCAGCCATGATGACGGGAGCATGGGTGACGGCCGATGGAATAGAGCCGTAGACTGGAGAGAGGTTGAGCTGGGAAACGCTAGACGCAACTCCCAAGAGTCCAAGAATGAAAACAGTCTGCAAATAGATGGAAGTCTGCTTTGCAGCGCGTCTCGTCCAGGTGTCTTCCTTGGCCTTGGCAGCGAGGTCCTTGAGCTCTCTCTCGAAACGCTCAGGCGTGAACCCTTCAGGCGCGCCAGTCGCCTTTGAGGTCTTTTTAGGTGCCATTACGCAGTGGGAAAGCGAGAAAGCAATTGATAACAAAATATACAAGTAGAAGTAACAATGAGGGACGAGACGGCGATCAAATGGCCTGCACCTGAGCTCCGAAGGTTGGTTGAAGACGCGACATTGCAACAGGAGGTTGACGTGGAGTCTTTGTTCTGATGGAGTGTGGCGGTGCTGTGGCTGGAATTCATGGACATCATCTTGGCACTGAAAGAAGCGATCAAGATATTTTCGATATTGTCAGGAATTTATTGTCAATGGTTTCGGAAAATTTGAAGGTGTTTTGGAAGCAATTGAACTTTAATTCTTTTGTGTTGATGCTGTTGATGTACAAGCGTAACCAGACGTAACCATTCCGTCCTACAATCTATCGATTCTGTTGTCAATTATTGAGAAGTCAGCTATCCTGCTAGAGCCCAACAGAGTGCAATTTCTGCCGTCTAATGATCAAGAAGAATGGGGATGATAATCTCTCGTACGAAAGCTGAAAGTGATCCATCTCCTCCTTCGTGCCTGTAAATGTCGCTTTCTACTCGTGACGTTCCCGGATCCTTGTTCGCACAACGTTTCATCAGCCTCGAGAAGCTCGCTAATCCGATGTCTCGATAAACTTGAAGACCCCCCGGAGGCATTATCGAGTCCATGAGGAGTTATTGCCCATCGTAGTAGGAACGCCTTCAGACCAGAGATGGTGTGGCAGGACATTCTCGGGTGGTTTGGATCAGGACCAGCATATCTTATGGAGGCGAAAGAAGCAAGCTATCGTCTAGCTGGGGTAGAGGGACCCCCACCTGAAGCTTCACGACTTATAGATAGAGTCGGGTCCTCTGCAGCCGGAGTAAGCCGCAATGGGTGTTGGGGAGAGGGAGAAACTGGTGTCTTAGGCCATGCATCCGGAGTATTAAGCCTCACTGCTGGACTAAGGAACCTTGAATCTAGGTCGCCGGCTCGTGGGGTGGGTGGCATTGAGCCCAGAGTAGAAGGGGAACTAGAGCGTGAGACCTCTAATGCAGGTATCGACGATCTTCTTCTTGGAGAGTAGGATCCTGCAGATGGAGTCGGAGCTCTTGAATATTGTCCATCAAGTTCTGGACTTGGCGAGAAGTATCTTGCGACTGGGGTTGGGGCTCTTGAAGATGGTCCGTCAAGTTCTGGGGTGGGCGAAAAGTATCTCGCAGCTGGGGTTGGAGGTATTGATGCCGGCGAAGAAGGAGGGCCTGAGATAGAGGCTTCTGGTGTATATGGGCCCGTCCCTGGTGAATAACGTCCAGCGGATGGAGTCGAGGGTATTGAATTCGGAGTGAGGCGAGAACTTGGCGAACAGTATCTTGCAGCGGGAGTAGGGGGCATCGAGCCTAGCGAAGAGGGGGAGACTGATCTCTCAGCATCAAATGTCCGTCCCTCTGGTGTGCATGACCTCTCAGTTGTTTGATAGGGAGCGCCTGAGTTAAAAGCCCCCAGTGCTTCTATAGATGACCCCTCGGTATCTGGAGTCTGGGGCCTGGCCTCTGGAGTAGCGGGAATCGAATTGGGAGTAAGGGGCCCCAAATTTGGAGATGGCATCTAGCCTGGGTCATAACGGGGTGAATTGGACGGGTTTGAAGGATTCTGACACATAGTAATGAATTGATAGAACCTGATGAATTGATATGGTTGTGTTCTATGGTGTTGACGAAGAAGAGTTTGGATTGAACTAGACCATAGACGGGGATGTATACCTGGCCAGCTGCACCTTCCATCAAATGTCGCATCATCAGTCCTGACAATGAGGCTCAAATATACGAACTTAACAACTACGTTGGGTTTAATAGTATCTATGTTAGAGTCATATCTTGAATTATCTGCATAGTTGCCTAAAATGTGGCTTTTTGCTACACAGCGAATTGCTCATTGGCCAACGCCATTACAACTTAACTAGGTTGCAAGGAAGAAACCATATACGTATTCTCTTTATAATCGAAAACCTAGTATTTTGAACATGCTTTGTTAGTGAAAGAGGACGCATTGTTGAGTTGTCATGTGTAGATGCTTGTGTATGAGGCTTGAGTTGAGCTGTCACTGTTGAATTGCACCATTCCACTACCTGTCTTCGCCAAACCCTTTCAACACTATCAACACACATTATACAGTGAGTCTAAATGTTGAGTTCGAGAACAATTGAGCCTTGATATTATACCCGCGTCTTCGAATATTTGGGCGTCTTACAACCGTGCCATCGGTTGCACAACCACCACTAACACGACCCACGATAACCTCTAGCTATGACGTATGCCATGAACCAACTGGGTTTAAGGTCCATGACAGGTGGATCTCGGCCTGGACCCGACACATGGCAGTGGGCTCGTGCATGACATGTGGAGTCATTGAAGCCAGCACGTTGGTTCTCATTTCTCAGCTTTTTTGTGTGTCCCTGAACTCGAGTTGATACATCACGCAAGGTAGTGATACCGTTTGCATCGCTTATTCAATCTAACATTTCCCATCTCATCCAAGTCATTCAAATCATATCCCGTCATCCAGCGCCCGTCCATGCCTCGGCCTCCCAGAGGTCCGAGAAGGTATCATTCATCAAACATCAATAGCCAGAAACAACCGGCCACAGAGGCCCAATGACAACCGCCATGTCAACTCCTGCCCTGCCAAACCAAAAACAATCTAGTAACGACACAACAACGCCTGAATGCATGCCGTGACCCGTTCTTTTATCAGCAGGCGAAACCCTGTCTACATCCGTGTAGGATAATCCTCCATGTCGTCATCGCTGCTCTCCTCCTCTTCACTGCCCGGACTATGCATAGCACTCATGTCTGCGCTCGGCATGCCGCCCAAGCCGTCGAGAATGCCACCGCTAAATGTTGGAGGCGCTGAAACTGAGAGGTCGACGTGGCTACCGTTGCGGCTCATCGATGGCTTCTCGGGCAGCTGCTTCAGCAGGCCTGTCGAAATATCCAGCATGGTCATAGCAAACTCGGTCAATCCCTTTCCTTCTCCAGGCTTCGAGCTCACTGAAAGAGTCCATCGATACTCTCCCAGACGTCGACGATACCAGTCAGCCTCCTCACGTCCTGGTGATGTGGCCCAGAGTAGTGAGCCAAACGTGCCAATCAGGGCAAAGTTGGTTTTTGACGCAAAGTACCAAAACGATCGCAGGTGGTTCGGTGTCAAACGGTTGACAAAATCCATGGCAGAGATAAGACGGGCCTTGGCAGCACTGCGACAAATGTGCTGCACGTACGAGTCAACCGTATTCGATTCTGAAGCAAGTGACCGGATGATTCGTCGATGTAGAGTAATTTCGGCGGCAAAATATGCCAAATGGAGATATCCAATACTCGAGAGTCTGCTGCTTGGGTTAAACGACGAGTAAGAAGAATCAAGTCGAATCAACTGCGGTAGCCCTCCATACCACTCCTTAAGCTTCAATTGGATCGGCTTTGCGAGTGACAAGACGAGGTGTGTACCTTGCGCGCCTGCATTGGCGACTGTATTCATCGCATGTAATGTGTAAAAGGTGTCGAGGATCTCGGAGAGGATTTCGGAAAGTTGCACCACCCGCATAAACAACATCCGGCCTTTTTCGATATCCAGCTTCTCCTCTGTATCATTCTCGTCCCATTCGACATCCGGAAAGTCATTAGGGGTGAGGGATTTCACTCCCCAGTTGGTAGAAAAAATGTGTGATGGTCGTCCATGAACCAGAGCCCCCCATTTATCCTGCATGTAAAGTGCCCAAGCCAATCGTTTCCGAAGCCCCTTTTCCCACGGTGGAATCTTCCATCCTGAACAGTCCAGATGTAATCCAAGCTCATGTCCAAGAGCTACAAGCTGGGCCGTCGGTGCCCACTGATCACCCTCTGGTCTCTGGGACAGGAGCAAGCCTGCCTGGATCGTCGACAGCTTTGGTCGGAAAGTGGCCTCATCCAGTGTCGCACGGATAATGCTCTCAAGCTCCTTGACGTTGGGGCGAGGCAGACCAGCAAGATCCTCGTTCTGGTCCCACCAATTGATGGCGAGCAGGTAGACGGCGGCCAACAGAGGCGGTGAGAATTCTCGATGCGAGCGTTCGTACTTTTCCATAAAGACGTGCTTCTGTATAATGGGGAACCCTGGGTGGATGACCCGAAAGTAAATGTCGATCAGATGCCGGCCATGAGGGGCCACAATGGACTCGACATGATCAGCGTCCTGCTTCACATGTTCGTGCCCTGGTGTGCTGGAGTCAGGCAGCATCAAGAAGGTGTCGTGTTCACTGACTTTGCGGAGAGTACCTCTGGACAAGAGGCTCTCGTCGTGGGGATCGAAGGAGGAGAGGTTGATGAGGGAGGGTTCAAAGTCGGTGGTGGGACCGATGTATTGGCTGTAGCGATCGTTCTGGAGGCCAAGCGTACGTTTCAGCATGGTCGGACCGCCGACATTTGCCATCTCCTCCAGGAACGAGCTGCTGGCGGCGGTGCTAGAGAGGCTAGAGTTGTGGTTTCGTCGCCTGGATGCGAGACCCGGAGAACTACAAGACCAATCACGTCAGACGAGTTGCACGAGTGAGACGGTTATCAAGGAGTAAAAGTTGAGTGGAGTGGCAGTCGTTGTGGAGAGAAGGCTGGGGATGACTGACCTTCTTTTCCCAACATCTTGGCCGTCATGAAGCTTTCTTTTTCGGGACTGGGGACTGCAGGCCAGGGAACACTCGGAGCCAGCAGCTTGGCACTGAGCACAGCCATCGTCATCGTCGTTCATGATACAGCTGGTACGCGAGTAGCGGCAAGCCAGGCAGGGCGGGATGGGGGAGCCGTTGAGGGATGAACCCTCGACAGGGGCAGAACTGGCAGCTCCGTGGCCAATCTCGAGCCTATGGAAGCTGTCCTGGCGATAAGAGGGCTCGGGCCGTGGAGGCTTTGGAGCGATGGCGATAGGCGCCGTCCTCTGCACGGGGGCCGAAGACTGGGGAGACATGATGCCGGGGTGCTATCTGGAGTATCCGAGGCAATGGAATCACCATCAGCAACTCAATTCTGTCAGGGCGGACAAGGTTCAGATTCAAGTCAGGTCAGGCGCCCGCTGCCCTGGTAGAAACGGGCGCGAGATGTTGAGCCGCAATGCCCTCAACGTCAACTCTATGGGGCTGTGATGCGAGAGATAGATGGCCCCACGGGGTCGGCAGTGACGCTGACGCAATATGCCCTAGCTACAACCACTGAGCAGCGAGATGATGTTGACGATGGCTAATAGAACCACGTTATCCAAATCAAAGTCGAAGATGGGCGCGTGCCAGTCGCACACGCGGGCAAGCAATGGTTGGTGCGAGATAACAGTCTGGGGAAGCGTGGACGGACGAGGCGAGGAGTGAAGGAGGGAAAAAAAAGATAAGAGGTGTCCGAGTGTGTAAGTGGTTGGAGACAAGACAAGAGGGCAAAGAGTGGGATCCGAGATGCCGGGATGCCAGGGACTTGCTGGGATGGCGGATGGCGGGCGCAGATGGGCGCCGATGGAGTCGGTCGACAGACGGGAGACCGGGGGGGTTAGCTGATAAGGCGGGCAAGCGGGGAGAGTTGACTAAGGAGCTGGAGCTGTGTGAAAACCAAAGTCGGTCTCGGTCCAGTTTGAGTCAGTCTGATATCGAGTCGATTGGGAGTCGTGTCAAGACGCAGAGAAGGTCGCGCGATGCTTGGTTGCTTGCGGGATGTTTGCGGGCGGCGATACACCAGCACCCAACCAGACGAGACGACCTGGGCTTGGTGCGCCCGCTGAGATCTGTTGGCTGCTTCTGGCTGGCTGCTTCTGATGTTCAACTCCAGGCGGGGATAAAGCCTGGGGAACCGGGGATAGGATTGGACGTTGGACGACAAGCGATGCAAGGCGAGGTCTCAGATGGTGATTTCTGACGTGACTTGTTGACTTGACTTGGAGAGAAGATAATCCGAGGGTTACTGTAATGTTGTGCGCTGATAGAATGCCCCTCAGGTAACGGCGAGATAAGCTAGCAGGCCTATCAGAGTTGATGTCATTGAAACGGCCGGTGCACGCTCGGGGAGTATGACAGTGACAGAGTAAAACAGAATGTCAGTTGACCGTGTCAAGTCAATATGAGTATCTGCAGGATAAACGCTCAACCATGACAAAAGACAAAGCAGAAGAGAAAAGAGACCGCCTCAGCCAAGAAAGAGGATTTGCGACAAATGTGGAAGACAGGCATGTGAGAGAGGGGTACCTAACGTTTGCGGGGAACACCACAAACAAAAAAGTACCTCGAGGGGTCTCCAGATCCCCAGCTCGGGGCAAGCCTTTTGGTGACCCAAGAGGGCTCGGAGTTTGTCCCGAATGGGGAACCTTGGGGTACCCTTTCCCCAGGGCAAGCTGCACTGCATTGTCCACTGAACAAGATCCGGATGGAGCCTGTGTAACCATGGTCGAGTCACAGTCTGAGCGGTCTCGCTTGTCCTTGCAAGGAGAGCTGTTTGTGTCTGTACAGCTGCAAGAGCTGAGGCCATCAAACAAAACAAACCTTGTCAACCTCGCTCAATCTCCGAGTATCTGGGCTGAGGGACCTAGCCCATGGCCAGCCTTGAATCCTCCATCACCATCTTGAACATCTGGATCCTAGCAACCAGCACCAAACAGGCAGGACCAGCGCAACGGGGTTTTCTCGGCGGCGGAGGACCAAGAATACCAAGAAAAAAAGGCACCAGCTCATTTTCGTCAAGGGTGTAGCATGCGCGGATCCGACTCCAGGTCTTGTCTCATGCCAGTTGGACCAGTTGGTGAGAGAGGATACGGCCCGCCATAGGCAGGATTGGATGGATGCTGAGTTGGAGGGCAAAGACTGAATGGTTGACAGTAGCAGAGAGCTTATCTCGAGAAAAGTAGAGGAGATAGAAATACATAATGGCAAAAGATAATGGCGAAAAAGAAAAGATGGAACCCTCAACTCGCAGACGACATGAGCGTCGCATGTCGCATGTCGCGGGACTTATCGACAGGCAAGTCAGCGCTAGACATGATAGGTACTGATACACAAAGGTTGACCGTCCCGAGGGCGCAGACAGACGCCGATTACCAAATGGAAAACCGATTGCAGAGCCTGTCTTCCCTCATTCTGCATGGTCTGGCGGTTGCTGTAACGTAATGGCTCGGGGGGTTGGTGCCTGTGGCCTCAGTGAAAAACGGAGCTGCCTGCACGGTCTCTGGCGGCTAAAATAACCTTTTTTTTTTACTGGCTCTCGCCTCAGACAGTCCGACAATTGATGTTGAATCGTACCGACCACCCGCGAATCGATACCCTTTGTTGTAGGTAGGTATCCATCTGCTCACTTTACCGGTCTGTTCCATCTTGCTTGGCTTGCGAAGCTCCTTCCCCTCTGTGACTGTGTCCCGCTCTTGTCTCTTGCCGTTTCTCCCTACCGACCTTCTCCTTCCCGTCTCCTTCTCCGTCTTGACGCTTCCGACTTGCTCCGATGACAACGACTCAACTTCCCCATCATCATCAAGTTAATACCGCCAGCCGCGCCTCGGCATCTTCAATTTCATGATATGAATCGATGAGTAACATTTCCCTTCTGGGATCCGCACGCGACTCGAGATCTATCAGTCCATCATTATCAACAGGTTCAGCTTCTCTAGCCAAATACAGCTTCCATGATTGGCCCACAAAGTCCTCCCCGTTCAGAGACTCCATGTCCCTGACGACATGCCGCATGCGCGCCTATCGATGCTGCCCGACAGTCGACATCTTGTCCGCCGTGGGGGCTGCAGGGACGGGGACGTGAGGGAGTTGCCGGTCCTGCCCCGGTGGCCCATGCTCCTGCACGGACCGAGTCTTTACATGGTGCCAAGCCCGGCCCTGCGGTTTTGGATATCTCCGGAGCATCATCGTCATGGTTCGGTCCGGGGCCATGGTTTGAGTTGAGGCTGTTTGATGCCAAGCGCGATGCGATAGCTTGTTCATAATGGGATCCATAGGCGTATCAGTTTGAGTGCCGACATCCACGTTACGGTCAAGTTCGCCGAAGCGGTGAGCCGACGTTTATCGCTCATCGGTCATCTCAACGTTGTTGAGTTGCATTTCTGCCACGTGAGGGTGGAGACAGTATCGTCCTTGATCAAAGTTGGTTCGGATATTGACATCTGTCTAAGGCGCCCAGACCATGGTCCTCTCCTCGTAGAGCTCGGTTGGCTCGCTGGATCCTCGTGCTGGTAGAGTCATTTCGAGTTTCTCTTGGACCTTGAAGCCGAGCCTCTCATAAAAGGTTACGGCGTTCATGGTAGCCTCAAGAATAACTGCTGCATTGTCGGCTGCTGCCTCGGTCTGAACTCGTCGAAGAAGTCCAGAAGCAGCTCCTCGACCACCGAACTTTGGATCCGTACAGAGATATGACACGTCTACCCGCGTTAGCCTCGATCAGCAACTCGGCGACAAGAGAAAACTCACGGTAATGCGGCTTATCACCGAGCACCTTGACTCTTGCTTCTTTGGTGAGAGCTGCATATGAGTCGAGATACTCCCGCCGGCAACAAGCCGGGAATTCGTCTTCGCTGTCCGACCGCGTTTGCCGCAGGCCATGAATTGCCCACTTGACAAAGCTCAATATCTTTCCGGTGTCTGTGTCTCGGGCGATGAGGACGCCCTTGTCGTCGCTGCGGACGTGATCCATCGTCTCTCTGCAAAGCCAACCTCGAAGGAATTCCAGGCTCTCAATGTTCGGAAATTGGGCATGCATCAGCAAATTGGGGTCCATTGCGTCCAAATGGACACTGGCCATGCTGGGGGCGTCATTCTCGGAGGGGACAATAATCTCAAAAGACATTCTGGGTCTCAAGGTAAAGCAATTGACGCAAGTCGGTGGTGGGAAGTTGATGGACCAACCAGGCTCACGATGTTGAGCAACTAACCCACGTGATCACCCCAGATCCACTCGGCAGTCGTCAAGACCCGTCGAGATGAGATGCAGGCTGGCCTCATCTTGGCAACAGTCAACATGGAACCCTTGTTGGGATATGTTGGAATCTGAAGTCGTTGCCACCAGGTCAAGGTCCACGGCAGTCAGCCCTGTTTATGAGAGACAGATGTTACGAGTGAGGCCTGAGGCCAGATGCTATACGCGAGGCGAGATGCTATGAGCGAGACGAAATGACAACTTCCAGAAACTTCCTACCGACGTTGCATCGACGCAACCCTGCCAATCCTGCAATTCCGGTGTATTAACCGGCAATCTCAGATACGAGGTCGTATATGAGGCTATACCCCTGCCCTAGTTGTGGAACTCTATTTCCCTGGTCTGAGCCTTGATAACTACACGCCCGGACAACCGAGTTTAAGAAGCATAATTTCGATGCTGCTGTAGGTTCAGTTGTCACTGTTGCATAGGTCTGGATGCCTCATAGTTAAGCTTAGCATGCATGCCTAATCAGACTTTTAAGTTGATGGCATAGTCTAAGCGGCCGGGGTCATAGCATGTGTATAGTATGTATCCAGAAGCCAAGAGATCAAGACAGCCAACAGGAGGGTCGAATCAGCATGCCAAGGTGTAGCACGTAACTCTGCTGTTCCATATTACAACCATATGACTACTCAATGGCGAGAGGAACTTTTGCGTTGGCTCATCAACGTTCACATTCAACGTTCACATTCAACGCCAGAACCTATGGACACTATCCAGGGCAGCATCACCAGCGTGGTATGCGACCTGTGATTCTATATGTCGTCATGAGCTGACACCAGTAAAGTAATTGTGAGCAGTTGAGCCCAGCCTCATGTTCATGAATACTCAGCCCCATGACTCACATGCCAACATTACGTCGAACATCATCCCATGGCATTCTCGTCCACGATTCTACTCCTCTTCACAGAATGTCGAAGAGTATGGAACGGAGCATGCTGAACAACACCACATCGATGTATGGAACAGAGCACAGTCACATCAGAAAACCGACACCAGTAAAGTAATTGTGAACAGTTCAACCCAAACTCATGTTATAAGGCAAACTTAGTTCTTTGACTCACAGGCCAAATTGACATCAGACACCATCCCATGGCATTCTCGTTCAGTTCCACTTCTGCTCATAGTATCAAGGGGTATGGAATAGAGCATATTGAATAAAGCATCACATCAATATATGGAACACACACATTCACCAATCATAGAGAAACAGAAAGTGAAGGGCCACTATTGCAGCAACTATAGACCTAGTCTGGCGAAATACAAAATGACTCCACGCGTCTGCCAGCTATTAAAACTACTTAGAAGAATTTGCGGTTTGCAAGTGTCCCTTTCCTTGCCTCTTGGGCCAAAGGAAGTGCCGGCTAGGGCAAAAATGATGACAAGAAGATTTTTTTGGTGATGTACCCTTTTAGTTGGGGGGTTGGAAGGAAGGCAGCTTGCCACCGCAAGCGTTGATGGCCTTGAGGGCCTTGACGTTGGAGACGCCAACAGCCTCGGCGGGCTGATCCTTGGCCTCGCCGTACTTGGGGAGCTGGTCCTCGGCAGCAGGAGGAGTGTAAGGAACGTTCTCAAGGCTGACCTCGAGGCTAGGAACCTCGGACAGGGGAATCTTAGAGCCGTCGACCTAGATGGAGTTAGGGAGGGTTACGATATATGAGTGGCGAGTTACATACCTTGACAATCTCAACCTGGAGACCGGTGGTGATGGTGTCAGCAACCTTGGTGGGGGAGCAGGCACCAAGGAGCTGAGGAGTATCGGCAGCATCGTCGACGGAAAAGGCACCGTGGACAGTACCCTCCTCAGGCTGCTTCATGACAACGAGGCCACCGACTCGCTTGCCGGAGACGTAGACGTTGACGGAACAGGGTCGCTCAACCTCGGTGACATCAAGGCTGACCTTGGCGAAGAAACGGGTGGTCTTGCCATCAGCACGTCCCTCAAGACCACGCTTGCTGGAGCTAGAGCCGTACAGGCTGTTGATGGTGCTGCGGGCAGAGCTGGTGAGCTGAGAACCGGACATGCGCCAGTACTCAAGACCGGCGTAGGTGTAGCCAAAGTTTCGGATGCTGTTGACGGAGCTGGAGGTGTGGAAACGGCCACGGGCAGCGTAGAAGGGCTGGAGAGGAGAGCTAGGGGTGATGCGAGTGCCCTGGGGAGTAGAGTAACGAGAGCCACCGCTGTAGGAGCCGGTGAAGCTGGACTTGTCGGGGTGCATGAACTGCCAGTAGGTCCAGAGACGGTCGACGTTGGTGTGGTGCATCCAGAAGATGGGGTCGAAGCCAGAGAACTCGGCCATCAGAAACTGACCAGCACAGGCAGCATCCCAGTGAATGGCGTTGTGGATCTGCTCCAGAGAGGCACCGCTGTTGCCAGTGGAAGCAAACTGGGCGAAGCTGGTCGAGTGGGTGAGGACATCGTAGGTCCACTGCTTGTAGGGTCGCTGGCGGAGGAGGCCGTTGGCGGTCGAGGGGAAGCTGTCAGGGGCAGGGCATCGGAACATGCGAGCGCGGTTCTCGTCGTCCCACTGTCCATACTTGCCAGCAACGGCGTCCTTGGGGAAGGTGTAGGTGTAGAGAGGGTTCTTCATGTTGATGGTCTTGAGGCCGCTGCCGTTGGGAACCTTGACGTTGACCATCTGGGGGACAACGGCGTTGGGGATGCCGTCGACGGCCCAGTCCCAGTAGGGGGATCGAAGAGTGTTGGCGGCATTGACGTACTGCTGACGGTACTTGGTAGGGTAGAGGTTGGCGAGTCTCTTGGCGTGCTCGACGAGGATCTGCTCAAAGAGCAGGACGTAGGGACGGTGCCATGTCAAGAACAGGCTTTCCTAGGAGGGGTCAGTGGTTGAATTGAAAGGGGTCAACGTCGAGCATACACCGTGGGGACAATACCCAGGCCAGCCGTTGCCGTTTCGGCCGCCGCCGCCATTCCACTGAATAAAAGGCTTGCCGTGGATACCTAGACAGTCAGTACAATGAATTGTGAGTCCTGACGTGATTGCATACCGGCAACTTGAAAGTAAGACTTGAGGTCAGTCTCCTTGGCATCGTACATGGTGCGGAGGGCGCGAATGTAGAGATCCCTGACAAGTTAGTTGACAGGCCGCCACAACAGATCGACATCTCTTACCATTGAGGACCACCAGTTCGCTGGAGATCGTTAATGCTCTTTCGAGCAGGAACAGCTCCCCCTCCAGAGACGGGAACACCAGTAATGAAGATGTTTTGGGTCTGGGCCTCGACGGGGTTCACCCCGCCGACGACGGCCAGAGCCGCAATGAAGAACTTGCCCAGGAACATGATTGACCTGCTAGAAACGAGTGTACTTGGGGTCGTGCTATTGAAGTAATAGACGACTTGAACCAGGAAAAGAGCAAGACGGACGGTAATGAAGAAGGGGAAGAGACTGAATATAAGTCCAAGCCTGAACTAGCCAGCTGGGCCAAGACTAGGCTTGTCCATCACCACGACCGCCGCAACACGGGGATCCATGGCTTCTCCGCATCTGCTTTCCGCAACTCCCGTCCTTCTGTCAAGGCAAAGGGGTTCGCGACTGGACTCCCTGGGTGACAAGGGGGAGGGTGTGAAGGGTAAAAGGGAATATCACCCATGCACGTTTACTTTTTAGCACGCTCGTAACGCCACGAAGTCTGTGCCCCCTTTGGAGGAGGAGTGGCCCACCTTGCCGTTACCTCACAACCTCTCAGCCTGGAAATTCATAGGGAGGCCACAAATCCAGCCCGGCGGTAGCGTCAGCGGTGCCTGAGCGAGGCCTGTAAGCTTGAGGAACTTGGACCAGTAAAATGGCAGGCCTCTCTCGTGTAAGCACGGGCTAGAAAGCTGGGGCTGGAGGTGCCGAACGCCGCCAGCCGAAGGACACTCACTCTCAGGAGAAAGGCACAGCCTATGGCGTAGCGCCCAGCTTGGTCCTGGCAGCATTGCAGTGGAGATTTTTTACTCTCGTCGTATTTTTGGCGCTCGATTAAAATTCATGGAACAGTCCTTTTTTGGCGCTTGTGTAATTTCACTGATGCTTCCATGCAGGCTCCGATGCGACAGGCCTCGGCGCAGAGTTGCCGACGGGACAGAGAGTATGCAGAGCTGAGCTGAGCTGAGGAACAAAGGGCCAGAAAACAAGGCCCGTCTAACAACTGGCCCGAGATCATCTCGACGCGCCGTTTGGTCGCACAAGCTGACAATGCAATGCGGCGCCATGCACCAACCATTCGAGCACCAAAAAAAGATGATGATCCTCAAGATGCACCCAGACGTGAATAGACCGGGTCGGGTCGGGTCAATGATTGGCAGCCACAAGGTCAGCCGGTTTCCAGAAACAAGTCTCGGTGCGTCAATCCTACGTCAGGCGTCTAGGTAGACCTGGTGTTGTTGTTTTTGCTGGCAAGGCAAATCCGCCAAAAAGCCACGGCCGACGGCACGTTCGCCTGCTGTCCAGGATGACCACTCGGCAGACGCCCAAATACGAGGCTCTCTGCCGTCTTGTGAATCCCTATGCAGGTCGCAAGAGGGCTGGGCGGCTGCACCTCTGCTTGGTCAATTGACAGCCCTCCCCTCAGGTTCAACGGAGCCACCTGAAAGTGAAGGCCTGCTCAGTCCTTTTGTGTGCTTCTCAAGAGAGTGTGTGTTTTTTTTAGATCATGACGGATTAATTACGGTCTCGGCCACTTCTGGTTGTGCTCACCGTTAAGCTAGTTCACCACCGAACTACGCGAGTTGACCCATTCAGTTCCCATGAAACAGCCACCAGCTCACGCCTCTCGTGGCTTGTCCGTTGCAACTGCTAGCTCGGGACTAGCCTCTCCTTGGTAAAAGGGACGGAGTATTGATTGCAAGGGCTGACTACAGAAAAACTCAAGGGGACGGCGCCAGGGGCGAAAAGCCTCGTCTCGATTCTAGCCCGCCACTCCTGGCGCGTGATGCCACTCTATTGGAACTATTGATTTGCCCTTTTGGTATCCGTACCTTGTTGAAATTAACCTGACGAATCCCCTGAGATTGCATTTAACTACGGGCTCCTCGCTTGGCTATTCTCATACGATGCTTTACTGTCAAAAGGGTGTCCTGCGGTAAGCCATACATATCTCGGTCAACCACTTACAGGCTCTACACGCGCAGACGCAGACGCAGGTCGTGAATCTCTGTGTACATCCCATCTGTGGGCGTCCGCATGTAACGCATCCATCTTCCCAGCTGGCAACCTCGTGTTGGCCCAACCACACCGCCCTTGTCCCGATCAAGCATAAAGCATAAAGCATCTAAGCATAGGATGCCGATACGAGCCCTACCATCATTGAAGTTGTGACGTCTTCTTTTTAGCTCGACGTTTTCCGCCAACCGACGGAATTGATCATCATTTGAGTTAAAACATCAGTTGATGATCTTGGCAACCTACTTTGGCAACTTGGTTCAACGCCATGGCGATAGAGTGCAACATGACCAACATCCACGGGTCATCCATATTCGGGCATCTATATTCAGAATCCCCCTCCTTCCGTTGAGAACCGGATCTCGTTTTGACACAAATGGCCCCGTTTAAGAGCTGACGGGTGCCATATTTGGATCTCTACCGCAGGGCCTCAACGCCAAATATGCAATACCTAATGCGAGAGCCTACCACGTAGCAGATCTAAGACTACCACTCCATGATCTTAGTGGCCAGATCCCGATCGTGCCAAGGCTTACTGGCTTGTTTGTCCATGTACTCCGCATCTCTCAATCCAATATTTACAGCAAACAACTTGAGTAATAAAGAGCCACGCAGCAACTCGCTTACCGCCCCTCGCATCTTGATTTGTTCCCTCCCCCGTCGATCCCCGGCGTCTTGGCTCCGCGCTGACATGTCCCAGCGGGCATTCAATCCCAAAAAATTATCCGTCAGCTGAAACACGGCAGAGGGATCATCTGCTGATCGGCGTCCTGGTTTCCTCTTTTGCCAGCGGTTCCTGCAGATCATCTTTGCGGAGCATCAAACCAAGCGTGGCCGGCCGGCCCAACACAATGAGATCCACGTCTTACTCAACGAGAAACAGCATAGCCCATACGGCGGGTCAGTTTATCAGACAATTGAATTCAGGGATCGAATAGGGAACAAGGGAGTAAGTACAATGGTTTGCAAAAAATCACGCTTTGCTGTCATACCAGGCCTGCTTTGTGAGACAACCTCCTCTACCCATGCAGGTCCCGGGTAGGTCTCATCCACCATTCTTCTCTTTTCTTTTCTCATGACTCTCATCCATCTCATCATGTCTCGCTCATCATGTGTCCATCATGATAGTGTTTGTTCCAGCATCATCAGGTCACGGAAGCCTTCCTTCCACCGTTTCGTCTGCTCTGCCGTAGGTTTCGGCAGAGGGCTCCGGGCAAATCCTCCGTATCCCCTCCATGCCTGCAGCCCAGCCTTTACACCAACCACACCGCCCTGGATGGCCGTCCAGTCGCCCTGTGAGACAACCTCCTGCAGCCTCTGTGCCTCGGAAACCTTGCCTTCCCGGTATAGTTCCATCGTTTTGATGCACGCCCTCGGGGCCATGTTGGCAAGCCCAGCCAGGATCCCGTGTCCGCCTCCGGATAGGGATGGGATCAGAAAGTCAGCCGATCCCGCGAGGACAAGGAACTCTGGCCGTGCTGGGTTGTATGTAGTAGAGAGCTTGCGGGTTGCCGCGGCTACACGGTTCAGCTTGCCAGTGTTTCCGCACGTCAGCTTGACGCCCACAATGTTTGGGTGCGCCGCAAGAGTCACGATGATGTCCGACGAGAGATCCATGCCTCCCACGGCACCGGGAAAGTTGTAGATGATGATGGGGATGGGTGACTTGTCCGCTACTGTTGTGAAATACTCTAGGATGGTTTCCGAGGCCGGAGCAAATAACGTGGCATAGTATGACGGAGGTAGCACCAGCGCATAGTCACCGCCAGCCTCCCAAGCCTCCCGACAATACTGGATCGTCTCACGCGTGCTCTGGCTCCCGCATCCCACGATCAGGGGCATATGTGAGAAGCCGCCGTCATTCAAGGCGGCTCTTGTGGTGGCGGTGACGAGCTGACGCTCCGAGTGAGAGAGGTGGACGGCCTCACCGTTGGACCCCTGGGTAGCTAGGCCGGTGACTCCAGCCCTGGCTAGTCGCACAGCGTGATCGGCAATGGCAGCCGTGTCAACGTCTTCTGAGTCGTCAAAGAAGCACATGGTTGGGACGTAGACCCCTGGGATCAGAGGGCGAGGAGAGTGCCGCACGTCTATTGAGTCGGCGGAGCTGCCGGATGAGGTGTCTGAGTAGTTGTTGGCTCTTGAGCTTGAGTGCCATTGGTTGTAAGGCTGGACCCCAAAGGACCCAACAGGTGAGGGTGCATCGCTGTGAGGGGACATGTCGATCGTCAAGGTAGGTATGTAGACTGTAGGCAGGCTGTAGGCAGGCAGACAAGGTAGGTGTAAGCCAGGATATAGCAGCCAAGGCAGATTCGAGAGTTAATGCAGTCGAGAAAAGTATTGAGAGAAGATGTGAGACAACAGAGCAGTCGAGAATATATACGCAATGCTTTATACTGAATAACTGCTGATGAATGCTATAAACAGCGATGGACGCAACGTCTTTTATATCACAAGATACCGACATCTCCACATCATCTCGTCTTCGTCTCCGTCAACTCCGGATTCCTGATCTCGTGCCCAACTTGCAGGGACCAGACTCGCAAGCCGACTAACTGATGCAATCAAAAGATGGAAAAAACAACCGGTCAGTCATTCACAGCTTCGACATTGGTAGATGGTAAACCGCTCCGCCGGCGTGCATCTGATAGTGAGGGGGCCTCGACACAGTGCGGAGCATTGGGGTCGTTGAATCTGGGGTTGACGGGGCCTCAAGACCGAGGCTCTGCAACTCTCCGTGGGGGTTAGCGTTGTCGGATGAGGCCCGTTGTTGATTATGTTCAAGTTTGAGAGGAAATAAGCTGTTTTGCATCAACAGGTGACCTTGGTGAACACCTCGTCTTGGATGTCTTTGCATATAGCTGCATCGTAGGTTGATGACATTCCCGAAGAGTCCTGCATACCGCAACAAAAGGAAGGATGCGTCACAAGATCTCATGGACTTCTGTGTAACAATCTGCGTGGCAGAGTCTCAAGCGGACAATTATGGCACGTGAATGACGCACCTCAATCACGTTCGGTTCAAGCTGCTTTGACATTGTAGACAAGGTCGATATGCATGACATTAGACTGTCAGCACCTCTCGTCATCATGCAGACCTCAGTTACCCCGCAACGACTGGATCAGGACCAAGGTGCTGATGTCTTGAAGCTGGTGTCTTTGAGCGGAGGTTATGGTTGATCCTGATCCTATTGCGTCGATATACGAGGTTGAGTCAAAACGCCCAAGTCTCAACTCTTACCAAGACATTCAAGACATGAATATACATAATTTGAGCTTCACCTCGTGAATGAGACTATGTTTGCCATGTTAACTAGTGGGGTTCAACACAGCCTGGTTAGCTCTCCCTTCACCGCATACGGTCAAGCACAACTCAACTCCAACACGGTTAAAACCTCAGTCTGACCCGGCCATCCCCGAACGTCTTCTGATCACTTACATCCTGCACTCTTCCCCGCGGGGTCTGCAATACCATTCCCCGACTCTCCAGTGCGGGGACCGGATGCATCCCGGACAGCTAAACCGGTCAGGTAGTGCACTCGATAGTCCATCAACTCCATCTTTGTGCGTTGAAAGGAATGCACTGTGCCCGCGCCGCAGCCTCGCATTGTCGACTCTTCACTCAAGTCTCCTCCAAGTCTCCTCACAATCACTGGCGGGGGTGGCTGTGCTTTGGGGGCAGCCTTTGATCCGAAATGAGATATCGGTACTTGTCGGTCTCGGCTGATGAATACTGTTTCTTGATTCAAGCAATATCGAATAATCTGACCAAATCGTTCACTCGTAATGTAACCCGTAGGCCCAACTCCAATCCAACCATGCCTGTAGCGCCTGTTTATCTTTGATTTATACAATAACAAGTTCGTCATCATCGTCTTCGAGCCTGACCTGCCGCTCGACGAGTTCATTGCCGAGGCTCTCTCTGCCGGCTTCGCGAATTCCCTTGTCCGTCACGAATCTAGTCTTTTTCCGTACTGGTTGATCGTTGCGTAGCTTCTCTCCTTCTTTCATCTTGGAGAGTTTGTCCCTGAGGTTGCTTCCCCAGCCGAATGCTGATTGTCTGCTGCTACCGAGTGAACCGTCTTGGGAACCTGCTTGTGAGCTGTCAGGCCGTTTGCGTTTGACAGGGCTGAGATGGATGGCGGGATCTCTACCCAAGAGCCCCAGAGATTTGGCGTCGGGTCTGTAGATTTCGGAGTCCGATACCTGGTTCGATGCCTGGCTCGACTGTGATGTGCCTGGTGCTGCTCGTGATCCTAGCCGCATGTATTCCCTTCCTGCTGCATTTCCAATCTGTCCGAGCTTCTTCATCATGTCTCGCTCTCTCTCCTTGGCCTCCAAGTCTCTCTTGATAAACTCGGCCCTTTCCTTGCGGTCGTTGGGGGTTCTGTCCTTTCCATCAATCAAGTCGGAAGCACTCATAGTCCGTGACGCAAACCAGTGTGTCTTGGTCTCCCAGTCGTACTTCCTGGACGACTCTTGCTTCTTTTCCTGGCCCCAGTTGTGTACCTCTCTAGAGTTGTTCTTCCTTGCCCCAAAGCTGCTGCCGTTCACTTCCAATCTGGTTCCTCTCTGCTTGCGGATAGCTTCGTTTGAGTGAAATTCGCAGTAGTGAGTTCGCTTCTTGTTGATCCACGAACCACACAACTCGCCATCCTTCTTGACGGATTGGCAGCCCCCTAGATCACGGGATGTGCCAATCTCAATGATGGAATCGTCGTCCGAGTTGATGACAAGACTGAACCGTCCAGTGTCTTGTCTCCCTGGTGGCGGTGGCATTAGATTAGGGTTGAGGATCGCAATAACAGTCCCTTCAGTGAGCTTCCAATACCGTGTAAAGCCCGAGTTGAAGAGAAAAAGGTCCAGTTCCCATTCCAGATCCACCAGTGTCATGACCATGTACTTTCCTCGGTCCTCTGTTTTGCCATTCCGTCCTTGAGTTGGCTTGTGTGCACGAGGTTCCGACTTTTTGGCCAGGATTCCAAACACGACAATGTCATGTTCCACATCGGGTAAAGCAAAGTCAGGTGCTTTGACAACTCTGAGGAGATCCTTGAGTGTATAGACCTTTTTGCCTGACACATGGCGGGCGAGGACACCATGAGGGATAATCCGTTTTGACAAATGAAAGCTTGAATATGGTTCGAATCCAGCGGCTTGGTCTTCGGGGACCTCACCGGGTGGTGTTTTCTTCTTTCGACTCTCCTGGGTCGGCCTTGTTTGCGGCTTGGTGGACATGATCTCTTCTCTGGAGAAGGCTGGGGCCTGAAGTGGTTCATCCGGGATGTCGACAGCATTCTTCTTGTATCTTTCCATCTCATCCTGACCAATCCCAAAGGCATTCGATCTCAACTTTTGAATCTTTTCCTGACGTTGGGTTCGTGCAGCCTCTTCTGTCCTCACCGAGGCGATACGCTCGTTGAAGCTTAGAGGGCGCGACTCCGTCACATTGGTCGTGGTTCTCGATCTTCGCAAATAACCTCCTGTGTGACCAATATCTATCGATGTTTGAGAATCTCTGTAGCTCGACGCGCGCTTCAAGGAAATGTCTTTAGCCTTGAGACCCTTGTCGATCCCCAAAAGCACCCTGCTAGGAGAAGTGTGTGGTCCCTGGATTCGTCTGACGGGAGACGCAGGAACTTGGATAGGATTTGCCTCTGGAGTTGCGGCGCGCCTTGGGCGTACTTGCGATATCGCCAACTCTGACGTGGTGGTGTGGAGATCGACTTCGGCTTTTTTCGATTTGGCACTCTGTAGCTTCTTCAACTTCAGCCGAGCCTGAATCTCCTGGAGCTTCAACTCCAATGTCTCTTCATCCTCTTCTTCATCATTTTCGATCTCGGCCAAAAGATTCATCGAAGGTAGATTGCGACCTCTCTTTGACGGTGAAGGTGAAGGCGATGTCTCCATCATACGTCGGTATCGCTCTCGTCCGCGGGGAGTGCTCAACAAAGCTTCATGAGGAGACCTCGGAGGCCATTGAGCTTCTTTTTTTGCCGGGGATTCTATCAGGTCAGTATTTCTCAACACATGGCCAGCAATAGACAGTCTCACCTGGAGCCATGACGAAACAAGCCTTGAGGCGGTGGGTGGCCCAGTAACGGCCCGATGGTATGCAGTCGCTTAGGGCGTATCCGTAATCCGGCGCATGTTCGTCGGGGTACGTCAGGTACGTATAGACCAGGCCATCAAACTCCAGCCAACGCTGAGTCAGGCAGTGTTTACTCCGTACTTTGTGTCGGGAAGATGAAAGGAGAATGTTGATGCAGGGAATGGTTGCTGTGATGGGGCTGCATGTTCCTGCACTGAGCGGGGCCCAACTGCCGTTTCGGGATCCCTGTCACGCGCTGAGACGCGTAAAGCACAGCGCGTTCAAATCACTTTAACGTCTCTCAGGTTGATATCAGCCTCAGGGTTAATTTTAATTGTTGCTACATCTCAATCGACACGAAATGGCAAGGACAAGATCAACAAAGACGGCGGACGCGCCTGCAGAGCCAACATCGACGACGACTTCTAAGATTAGCCTCACACGCTCAGAGAATCCCTCCAAGATCTTTGTCCTCCCCTCGAAAGCCACTCTTGATGCGCGAATCGTCACTCTACCCAATCCCAGACATGCGCGGCCTGCGAGATATCTAGTTTGTCCCGAGACTGGCATCTACGAGTTTACAAAGATCGCGACGCCAAAAGCCACTCCTCGGAGTTGGCTGATTGAGAATGGCGAGAATGCAAACATCTCAATGGGTCAGGAGCTGTACATGGCCACCTTGATCGATCCCGTGTTCCTGGTTCTTCCAGCCTTGACTGAGCAGACAAAGGGATCAGAGAAGCGGCTATTTTTGTCAAGTGATGACCACTTTGACCACCTCCCTGAGGAGTCCTCTCATCTATCCGAGATTCTACGATGCGAAAAGACACGAAAACTCATTGAGAGCAGGATGGGGGCGGTTTGCGACACGGTCGAGGCAGGCGACGAAACCATGTTTCGCATAAACAACGAGAAGCTTGTCAATGTCGTACTGGAAAAGGCAAGGAGGATGGGTCAATTACCGGCCAGCATGGAGGAGAAGTTTGTCAAGAAGACCCTTGAAGCCCCTGTCCTCGCTCAGAAGCGAGAGTTGAGGACAGAAACCTCCCAGCCAACCACCGAAACAGTCGAGACACCAGCCGATTCAACAGATTCTCAGTCCACGACGACCGATACCCAGCCTTCGACAGCCACATCCTTTACAACCATCACCGATGATGTCGTCACTGCCATTCAGGCATCTCCCGAAGTCACAAGCCTGCAAAGGTTGCGAGTCGCATTTAGCTTCATCTGCTCGAGCTACATTGCCCCATCCCTTGCTACGGAACTGCAGACAGCTGTCGAAAAAGCTGTCGACTTTTCCTCTCTCGATGACTACCTCTCCAAACTCGCCAAGTTCCGCGCAGAAGCCGTAGCATCACACTCCTTGGACTACTCCCGGAAACGAGACCGAGACGAAGAAGAAGACGAGGCCAGTGTTAAGAGGAGAAAGGCGGAGGAAGAAAAGAAGAAAAAGTCGATGGAAAGCAGGGGTGTCCGGGAGCTCAAAAAGGTCAACACCAAGGGCATGAAGAAGATGAGCGACTTTTTCAAGAAGAAATAGGTTGGGTATCATAAAGTAATCATTTAGTCCCTCGAGCCCGACGTGCGCCAAATCCTCTGCCGATATTGGAAGTCCCACGACCTGGGCCAGAACTCCCGGAATAGCTCGAACTTGAATAACTTGAGCCCCTTGCGGCTGGCCCGCCTCGTCCTCGGCCACCCCTGGCCCCCCTGGTTCCGCGTCCAGGTGTGGCCGAGGCCAGTCTTTGCCTCTCTTCATCCTCGCGTCGTCTACGCAACTCTTCGCGTCTCTGCTCTTCTTCAGCGGCTCTTCTCTCAGCAGCCAGCTGCCTTTGGATGGCCTCTGCCTCTTGTTCGGCGAGGTCTTCAGTTGCACCCTTCCAACCAGGGTCCAAGATCAGACGTTGATTATGCTCCGTCTGTGATAATATTCGAGTCCAGGTGTTGAGGAGGACAGATGCATTGTTTACTGTTTTGGATACGGTCTATAGAGGTCAGTAGACGTGGCAGCAGGCATGGAGCACGGCACATACATCCATGTTGCCCCCGGCACGCTCCAGGGTCGCAATAACGCCCTCGATGGATTCGTTGATGTTTCGTACACCTTCGAGCTCCTTGCGCAGCGCAGCTTCATGGTCTATAGGCTCACGTTCCTGGGTTGGAGTCTTGGGCGTCTTGGGAGTCCTGGGGGTCCTCGGACGGTCAGGCTGGACCGGCGAGGACCAAATCTCTTCTTGTGTGTAATCGTCGGACATGATGTCGGTTGACAGGCGGTTAGAGTCTGGTCGTTGGGCCGTCAAAATGGTTGTCATGCACGTGTCGGCGCTTGTTGACTTGCCCACGGAACTTAATTGATGAGGGGCATTGTCCCACCCTTTGTTTGACGCCTGCCTGAAACCTGCACCGTGATTGGGCATCCATGTCGCGTAACGACGCGCCCATGGACGCGTGCGGCTTGTAGGGGCACGGCCCAATTTCAGCCCCAACAACGGAAACGGGGAGGCTGGGCCACACTCCAGGGTAATTGCCCAGCCACTTTTCTCCTCCTTCATCGAGTGTTGTCATCTGAGCCTACAATCAAACTACCATCACCGACTCTCCCATCATCAAATATATCAACGTCAAATCCATCATCGCCCTACCCTATCGTCATCCACCATATCTTTCCCGCTCGTTCCGTCCGTCGCCACGATTGTTGTGTCCGCTGCGTGAGATATTCCCTCAATAAACAAAGCCAATTCGACGCACCACTCCCGGGTAGACCTGGCAACAAAGGAGCACCCATTTTCGACGAGCATCACGACGACATAATTACCTGAAAGGGACGAGGCACACACAAACAGTTGACTATCGGTCGCTACCAAAATGGCTGCCGCACACGGGTCAACGACTCCCCCCCCTCCCTCTCGCATCCACAGCCCTCCAACTCCACGCCTCGGATACCAAGACAACTGGGAGCCATTCACTCCTCGCAAATCCGCCCGAATTTCTGAACAGCGCGCAAACCGAACCCCTTCACCCGGCGCATCTCGCCAACCACGATCACCACGCACAGTCAAGAAGACCAAGCCCGTTGCTACCCCGATGCCATCGCCGCAAAAGAAGCGCCAGCCTGCTCTTGACGCCGTGCGTCGTGCTCCCATCAACATGGGCGAAAGTTCTCAAGCTGCTCTCGGCAGGCCTGCCTCTTCGGCCATCCGATCAGCTGGCATGCTTCCCACGCCTTCTAAGACTCCCCAGAAGCCCCCTAATGAGAAGACCGCCGCCAACATCAAGTCCGTCGCCCGCAATCTCTTTGCCGAGTCTGAAGTGATTGCCAGCCCTAAGAAGCGACGCACCAAGAAGTACACTGGCATTTCCATGGAGAGCTTCACTGCGGAGGAGATTGAAGACCCTATCGAAATTTTCACCGACACTCGGGATCGCATCCCTACCCGAGATGAGAGTAGCAACCCTTTCTTTGGTGATGCCCCAGAGCCCGAGCCCAGCAAGCGAGGCAAGCGCAAGGTCAAGGTTCCCGGAGAGGGTATCAAGACTATTGATGAGGCATCTCGCCGCGAGGACGGAATGGTTTACGTATTGTAAGTTTCATCACCCACAATCAACCACAATGACCCACATGCTAACTATCATAGCCGTGGAAAGAAGTTCTTTCGCAAGTTTTCTGAATATGAGGCAGAGGAGTTGGATGAACTCCAAGCCGATGAGGAAGATGTCGAGGCTTACCTCAACCGACCTCTTACTCGTGCTTCCATCAAGCCTCGCCTTCTTTTCCAAAAGACAAAGACAATGGAGGAGATTGAAGAGGAAGAGGCTGTGACTGATGTCGAGGATGAGCTGGAACAAGAGCAAGAAGCAGAGATTGTTCCCCAGACACCACAAAAGTCTCGATCCAAGGAGCGTGCCAACACTCCCGAAGCACCCAAGCTTCCCGTTTCACCACCAGACACTCGTCGAATTACACGATCCATCAACAAACTTCTGGACGAGGGAACACCCGTCAAGGCACCCGGGCAACGAAGCCCATTCGACTCCTGGCGACGAACCAAGGAGCCCAACAAAGAGTCACGCAAGCGAGCTGGCGAATCACTCAGCCCAACGGAAGCCAAGCGCACCCGGGTTTAATGACGCATTGTTTACCTTTGATATCGTTTACTTACTTGCTTAATTGATGGTTTGGCGTTGGATGGACAAAGGACTCATGTATGCACGCGCACAGGAACAAGGACAAGGAAAGGAAAGGACTTTGAGGATGCGATACCTGAACCTCTGGGAGGTAAAATGTTAGGTCTCCTTGGAACGTATTCAATTCACTCATCACATTTAGGTAGAACTCGTGAATTAGTCTAGTCTATTCGAATAAACACACAGACAAGTTCATGATAATTACATGAGGCGCTGACGTGCTAGCTGTTTACTGGCCCCACTGCCACTCGTGCCCCTCACCTCTCGACTTTGTATCCGTACTTTCCATCGTAATTCACTTCTACACACCATCCCACAGTCAAGATGCACGTTCTAGTCACCAACGACGATGGTCCTCCCTCGTCTCACGCCTCTCCCTATGTGAGCTGCCTCATTCAGCAGCTCAAAGGAGCCGGCCACACTGTCTCGGTCTGTCTGCCTCATACTCAACGGTCATGGATTGGTAAGGCCCACATGATCGGCCAGACCCTCAAGCCTCTGTACTACCGTCCCTCATCTGTCATCCACGGTGAAGATTCTGAGGGCACTACTCATCATCGTCCTTCACCTTCGGGAGATGTTGAGGAGTGGATTCTGATTGACGGAACGCCTGCTTCGTGCGTCCAGATTGGTCTTCACCACTTCTTCCAGGACCGAGGACCGATCGACCTTGTTGTCAGCGGACCCAACTATGGCAGAAACACCACGGCCGTCTTTGCTTTGAGCTCGGGAACTCTTGGAGCTGCACTTGAGGCTGCTGTTTGTCAGAAAAAGGCCATTGCATTGAGCTTTGCCTTTTTCACCCGAAACCACGATCCCGTCATTATTGAGGCAGCTTGTCGACGTAGTGTCAAGGTTATCGAGGCTTTGTACAAGCAGTGGCCTACGGACGGCAGTGCAGATCTCTACAGCGTCAATGTGCCTCTCGTGGAAGGTCTCGAGAACAAAAAGGCAATCTGGACAAACATGCTTCAGAACTACTGGAGAGAAGGTGGCTGCTTCCAGGAGATTGAGGGTGAAGCTGGGGACGAAAATGAGGAGGAGGAGAGAATACGAGAGGGTATTGGAGGAGAAGTAGATGATGCTGGGTCGTCTGCCCGCAAAGGACATGCCCATAAGCACTTCAAATGGGCACCTAGGTTTACCGATGTTTACAAGAGTGTGGAAGAGTCCAAGCCAGGCAACGACGGATGGGCTGTCAAAGAGGGACTGACAAGGTATTTTATCAACCCAGAGTCCATCACAAGCTAACAATGCCAGTGTCACTGCCCTCAAGGCCAACTTTATGCATGATTCTGAAGAGTCCAACCAGAAGGAGCTAGAACTGTAAGTTGGAAGGAAATGTATCTAGACAATAGTCCTTACAGTGGGCAGTTCAGGTTCAGAGGTGGCCATTCGGCCAAAGAGTGCGGTTCAAGCCATCGTTTCTTACGAGGATTCTTATGTGCAACCTCTCATTCTGTCCGCCATCGAATCTCTATTCCCTGGCGTCTTGGACGTGACCACTAAAGAACAGTCGTCCCTTGCAGAGTTTGGCGATGAAAAGGTGCTCCAGATCACTGCCTACGAGTCTATTGACTTTGAGTATGCTGCCAGCCACGAAAAGACGTCTCTCATCAACAGCTACATGATTCGAAAGGCTCTTATCCGGAAGCACTATCTGTCGACAACCGTGGATCACTGGATTGCCAAGAATCCGTCGTCCATCCTCAAGCAGCACGTCAAGCGGAGTGATGCATTCGAGGTTGACTTTGCCGAGTTTCTAGATGATGCTCTGGTGGAGGCGTTTGACCTCCGGGAGAGCATGGAACGAAACGAGGAGAAGCCTGATGATAAGGAATGGTGGATCCTGAAGCCAGGAATGAGTGACAGAGGCCAGGGTATTCGACTCTTTAGCTCTATGGATGAGCTCCAAGCCATCTTTGATGCCTGGGAAGAAGATCAGCCTGACACTGACGATGAGCTCGAGGCAGATGACGACAACGGCGACGGTATCATGACATCTCATCTACGCCACTTTGTTGCACAGCCCTACATTCATCCGCCCCTTTTGGTTGAAGGCGAGAGCCGCAAGTTTCACATTCGAACTTATGTCATGTGCACTGGAAGCCTCAACGTCTGGGTGTACAAGCACATGCTGGCCCTCTTTGCTGGCAAGCCGTACACTGCGCCGGCAGATGCTCCAGAAGACATTGAGTCGTTCCTCACAAACACATGTCTCCAGGACTCGCCCAACGAAAACACCGTCCGTCGTTTCTGGGATCTGCCCCTGTCAAAGGAGACACGGGATGGCATCTTTACTCAGATCTGCGATGTGACTGGCGAGGTCTTTGAGGCGGCAGCCAAGGCCATGCCCATTCACTTTCAGACACTACCAAACGCTTTTGAAGTGTTTGGTCTCGACTTTCTCATGGATGCCAAGGGAACTGCTTGGTTACTCGAGGTGAATGCGTTTCCTGACTTTAAGCAGACTGGGGGTGACCTCAAGGATATCGTCTCTGGGTTCTGGAAGGGGGTATTGAGACATGGGGTTGCACCATTCTTTAACATCTCGCCAAAGGACCAGGATGGTGCCGAGGACATGGTTCTCGTACGAAAGCTTGATCTTGGTAGAGGTTGAGTAGGAGTCTAAAAGTTATTGTTTTGTCTCGGCGTGTCTCGGTCTGATGCTTCATGTTGCCTAGCACTTATCGGTCCTGTCTGAGTGTTTTCTGAGTTTGCTCGTCCGTGATTCTAAGCTCTTTCTGTTGTCTGTGCCTCCGAGTACTCTGCCCGTGCCTATCTGGTATCCCGGTTACCGTCGTATGATTCGGAATGTGGACGATCACGGCATGTCAACCCCACGAGCATAGCCTCAACTTTACTGGGTCTTGCCCAACTTCCCGAAGCAGGCATTGCATCTGTCACAACCGTCGGACTAGGTCGGGCGCAAATTTCAATATTTCACTGTCGCAATATCATAATCAGGATTAATGCCGATTGGGTAGATCATACACAGCCACGGGGTGGGGGTCGATATCCGTCGGACGTATTTGACGGTGAGGGGATGCCATGACCTTTTGTCGCGTGGAGGGCGATGCGTTGGTTGATGTTGTGTTGTTTGGAATCGTCAGGTTCAACACACGTAAGATTATTGGTGTTGGTCTCTGAGCTGTGCCGTAGGTCAACAGCATCGCGTATGCGTATCCTGAGAACTAGTAGATTATCCGGCTAGTCTGACAATGCCTCAGACTGACTCGTCCACGCATTACCTGACTCGATACAACTTAAGATCGCGAGACCGGAAGAGGTAGCCTCCGTGTGAAGGCTTAGATGGCCAGCAGTTACAAGTTGATCATCTGGGTCAATATCCATCGCCACTGAGTTGGTGTACGTTTGTGGCTTGGAGCTCTACCTGTCAAGCTGAGCTCCCATCGTGATGAGCTCAATGTTGGAGGTGGCTTAGACGTAGCTTCACCTCGGCTCTTTACTTGTTGGGCACATGCTAACTAGGAGCCGTGACAACTCAGCTTGACTTGACAGGTAGTCATCACGCGGGGAGGCAGCCTCACGGGATGTAGCCGAGACTCCATCGAGGCCTTGACTCCATAGTCAACTCGTCATATCGAAAACCTTTACAGCTGAGCCACCACTGGTTTCTCGATCTGGTACACCGTTCGGGCTAGCGGTGAATAACTTGAAGGTTGACCATGATACCGCTAGTGACCCTTGCTGCAGAGAGATGCCTGGTCAGAAAGTGTCAACATTGATTGGCCAGCTGACTGATTGATCGCGTGCCCAGAACTTGGACAACTCTTTTTCGACGACACATTAACAATCATGACGATGCTTTGTTTCTGATCGAGTAAATGCTCCGAACTTCAAAGCTACGTGTACAACATCTGGCTGCCTCTTGATACGTTCCATGAGGCTGTGCACCGCCACAGATTCTGTTGAGATACAGGCCTCCAGCCTCAGCTCGCTGGTCGCGGAAAACAGTTGAGCCGCTGCCGCGTGTGGATCGGTCTCGGCCTGCCAAGTCACGTCCAAGGGGCAATGTCTCAGTTTGTCCATGATCGACGCTGGGCATCTCCGGCAATTTGGTTCAATGCCAGCCGTGGGAGGTTCTGCTGTGGCAACTCTGCGCGACTCAGCCTCGAGGACATTTGTCACCCCTCGCACCAGGTTGGCTCTCTGGTGAAACTGACTTTGTGTCGGTCGACCGAGTCGGCTGCAACAGGGGCAGACAAGATAGAGTGTGCATCCCGTGAAAGCTTGGCCTTTGGCCCCGGTCGGTGGGGTACCAATATCGCAATAGGATAGCGCGGTGGATTTCAAATGGAACGTCCAGGATGAATCCTTGCTTCAACTCCTGACGGAGCTCGCATAACCAGTATCCTCGTATCGTCAAAGCTGGCATCCCAGATAATATGTGCAGAGATGCCATTGCGAGTAAACGCGTCCCCGGACATATTGACAAATAAGCTCATCACCGGCGAGTACGCAAGCCGCGGCTAGACCAGGGTGAGGGCTAGTTTGATGAGTTTGTAGAATTCCCTGGTATAGAAGCCGGGGTTGAGATTAGCTATGGAATACTCGTTCTCCGTTCTCGTTCTCCGTTCTCCGTTGTCAATAGGGGTGCGCTGTCAGACGTCAAGCTTGTGGATTCAGTGCGTGTTCGCATGTAGACCCTCTGTACGAATAACATCGACGCCATCACCGATTCAATGTTCCACGACGTTGAGCGGCCTCGGCGCCAAGTCATGCCACTAACGACCAGCAAGGGGCCGCGCTTAGTGCCTTGGCTTTGCATCCAGATCTCCTGAATTGACACAGCTTGTGCTTACCTGCTGAATACTCAGCCTCTGCTCTGGACTGTACTCAACATTCGACAGGCCGCATCGGACAACCACCGGTGCTTCTTCTCCAGAGTTTATGCACAACTTGAGCATCCAGCGCTTATGGTCCGTAGGAACTCGCTGCATCACCAATCAGCCCCGGCAAGGACTTCGGTAGCGCCTGGTCCCTGCTAAAGTAGCACTTGCCCGTGCTCCCGTCTCCACCAGCCAATCAGTGGCGGAATCATTTGCACTGCCTCACTCACCTCAACCAAAACAACTTCGCACATCTCCTTCTCTTCGTCTCTCTTTCATCGGCCATGCACTCGAGGCCTTGATCATCAATCAACTTGAGCCGCTCCCGGCGAATTCTTTCCTTGGCTTACATCGCTTTGGCTCTACGCCTTTCCTTCATCTATACGGAATCTGCATAGCCCCGTCGCCGTCACTATGGCAGATGAGTCGAATCCGCCCATGAGGCGTCGCGCGTACGTCAACAGGCCTCCCGTTGAGACTCGACTGACCTTTAATAGCCCTACAATCACCATCGACACTACAGCTGTCAACCCTAATAACCAGGAGCGCCCCAACTCTCCCATCTCTCCAGACGACGCTGTTAGTCCCACGACAACTGATACTCGACCACTCGAATTGAATACTTCAATGTCTTTCGACAAGGATAGCCGACCAACAAGCCCTCACAATGTCTCGAGTCCTGTCACATCAAAATCTGGCGATGGCGCCGGCTTCTTGGCTGTGCCGCTGAACCATCGATCGCGACAGAATTCAGTCGACTCGGATGACATGTCCAGATCTGTCTCGTCGCAAGGAGACACCACCGTTGTGGCGTCCAACTCGACACAGGTGGATACGCTCAAGGGATCCGAATATGATCATAAGAAGATTATCAACGATGAGACGGCTTTGAAGCCTGACGTCGGTACAGAGGCCGATTTCGAGGTGGAAAACAACCCATTTGCCTTTACACCTGGCCAGCTTAACAAAATGTTTAACCCCAAAAGTCTATCGGCCTTTTATAAGTTGGGTGGCATGGATGGCCTGGAGAAGGGTTTACGAAGTGACCGCAAGGCTGGATTGAGCGTGGACGAAAAGGGTCTTGATGGCCAAGTATCGTTCGAGGACGCGACATCAAAAAAGCACATTACACACCACTCTTCTTCATCAGGAGAGGGCTTTTCAGACCGATTACGCGTCTTCAAGGATAACCGACTTCCTGAGAAGAAGGGAAAGAGCTTGCTAGAGCTCATGTGGATCACCTATAATGACAAGGTCCTGATCCTGCTTTCCATCGCCGCGGTTATCAGTCTGGCAGTTGGCCTGTATCAGACTTTTGGTGGTGCTCATAAGCCGGGTGAACCCAAGGTCGAATGGATCGAAGGTGTTGCGATTATTGTCGCCATCGCCATCGTTGTTATCGTCGGATCACTCAACGACTACCAGAAGGAGCGACAGTTTACAAAGTTGAACAAGAAGAAGCAGGATCGCGTCGTCAAGGTGGTTCGCTCAGGAAAGACGATTGAGCTATCGGTTTTTGATTTGTTGGTCGGCGACGTTGTTCACCTTGAGCCCGGTGACCTGGTACCGGTTGACGGAATTCTCATTGAAGGTTTCAATGTCAAGTGCGACGAGTCGCAGACCACCGGCGAGTCAGACGTTATCCGAAAGCGAGGCGCCGACGAAGTGTTTGCGGCCATCGAGAACCACGAAGACCTCAAGAAGATGGACCCTTTTATCCAGTCTGGAGCTCGCATCATGGAGGGTGTCGGTACCTTTATGACCACCTCTGTCGGTGTTTACTCATCCTACGGCAAGACGCTCATGGCTCTTAACGAAGATCCTGAGATGACTCCTCTTCAGGCGAAGCTGAATGTTATCGCCACCTACATCGCCAAGCTTGGTGGTGCTGCCGGTCTGCTTCTGTTCATCGTCTTGTTCATCCAATTCCTGGTCCGTCTGCCTAAGCAGCCTTCCTCGGTCACCCCAGCTGAAAAGGGACAACAATTCCTTAACATTTTTATTGTTGTCGTAACCATTATTGTGGTTGCTGTTCCTGAAGGTCTGCCTCTGGCTGTCACTCTGGCTCTGGCTTTTGCGACAACTCGAATGCTGCGAGATGCGAACCTGGTGCGACACTTGAAGGCTTGCGAAGTCATGGGCAATGCCACGACCATCTGCTCCGACAAGACAGGAACTCTCACTCAGAATAAGATGCAGGTTGTTTCTGGAACCATCGGAACAAGCCATCGGTTTGGAGGATCTCGCCAAGGAGATTCAAGCGGTACTTCTACTCCGGTCGACCTCAGTGGCGATATTTCCGCCTCCGAGTTTGCCTCTATGCTCAGCGCACCTGTTCGGGAACTTCTCCTCAAGTCCATCTCTCTCAACTCGACTGCCTTTGAGGGCGACGTTGATGGCGAACAAACCTTTATCGGTTCCAAGACTGAAACTGCCATGCTCATCTTTGCCAGGGCTCACCTCGGCATGGGCCCTGTCGCCGAAGAGCGAGAGAATGCCAAGGTTCTTCAGCTGATTCCTTTCGACTCTGGTCGCAAGTGCATGGGTATTGTCGTTCAGCTGGCCAATGGCACCGCCCGTCTCTACATCAAGGGTGCCTCCGAAATCATCCTGGCCAAGTGTAGCCAGATCCTCCGAGACCCTGCCGCCGATGACTCGCTCGCTCCCATGTCTCAAGATAACATCGACACCATCAACCACCTCATCGAGAGCTACGCCAAGAGGTCACTCCGAACCATTGGAGTCTGCTACAAGGACTTCCCTGCATGGCCCCCTAAGAATGCTGGCCAGGTTGAAGGTAG